GAGTGCGGGGGCGGGGGGGTCCCAGGACGATGTGCGCAGGCGCAGAACAGGGAGGGCGCAGTCCTCCTTCCTGCCAGTCTCCACTGAGGTTTTCCTGGCTTGGACACTCTCGACCTCAGGCTAGCTCCCTGCCGATTCCCCCAGTGGCACAGTCCAGTTGCCCCCACAGTGTATATGTTCAGCGATGATGAAACACGTGTGATTTTGTGTTCGTGTGTGTGTGTGTGAGTGAATGCTGCTGCGTGTGTGTCGCAGTGTGCGGGAGAAGCTCAGAGCTGTCGGACTTTTCTTCCCATTTTGTTTGGGACCGGTGCAGGCCAGGCTAGCTGGCCCGGCTTCGGGAGAGCCTACTGTTCCCACCGCCCACCTCCTGGTGGCTCAACAGGCTACAGATTTTTCTGTACTGCATGTGGGTTTCCACGGATCTGAGGTCTGAACACGGGTCATCCCGCGCGGCAGGCGGTTCACCCAAGCTTTTTGTGTTTTAACCACGCCCAAGGGTACAGATGGTGCCCTCACGCTGTGAGCAGCCGGCCACCCCAGGTCTTCTCGACTTCCCAAAGACTTCCCAAACTGAAATGCTCCCTCTCTGGAGGGAGTGCCACAGTCTTTGTCCCCAGAGCTCGGTTGCCACTCTCCACTCACTCACAACTCCTCCAGGGCCTCATACAAATGGGGCCCACCGTGTTTACTTCCGGGTCTTCAGGGCTCAGTTCCCTTCCATTTTTAAAAAGTTACTGTTTATATGTTTATTACAGTTTATTCACTCCGTATCCCCGCTGCAGGCCCCTCCCTAGTCTCCTCCCAGTCCCACCCACCCTTCCTCTTCTCCCCTTATGAACTTTCCCCAGTTCCCTGAAAGGGGAGGTCCTGCTCCCCTCCATCGGACCCTAGCCTATCAGATCTCATCAGGAGCAGCTGCATTGTCTTCCTCTGTGGTCTGTAAGGCTGCTCCCCCCTCAGGGGGAGGTGATCAGAGAGCAGGCCAATCAGTTCATGTCAGAGACAGCCCCTGTTCCCCTTACTAGGAGACCCACTTGGAGACTGAGCTGCCATGGGCTATATCTGAGCAGGGGTTCTAGGTTATCTCCATGCATGGGCCTTGGTTGGAATATAGGTCTCTGCAGACCCTATGGGCCCATCCCTTCCTTTTATAGAGTGAACAAAATTCCATTGTACGTCTTTGAGATTTTCTTTACATTTTATTTATTGGGTGTTTGTATATGTGTGTGTGTGTGTGTGTGTGTGTGAGAGAGAGAGAGAGAGAGAGAGAGAGAGAGAGAGAGAGAAAGAGAGGAACTACTATACATGCCACAACACACAAGGAGGTCAGAACAGTTGGCCCGAGCCATTCTCAGGGTGAATGTTAGGTCGGGGCCAGCAGGAAGCACCTTTACCTATTGATCCTCTCCTCACCTCTGGTTTGCTTGTTTTCCATTTATTTATTCATTTGGGGGTGGGATCATGCCATCACACACATGTGCAGGTCAGAAGACAATTTAAGGAAGTCGCTTCTCTCCTTCTCTAGGGTCCAGGGATCAAACTTCGGTCATCAGGCATAAGGGCAGCACCCTGTCAGATCCCTGGGGTTGTTTCCCAGGCAGATGGTGTCACTGGGCACAGAATCCATGATTGGCAGGTTTTTTCAGCCTTAAAAAAAAGGTGCCGCTTCCTGTGGCTGCTGTAACTTGTGACGTGAAGGCACTGTAGCTCACACGGCTGCTCTTCCCCTTCGAGGATCATGCATCTGTGTTCTCTGTGTCTGCTTTCGAAGTTTTTTATCCTTTTCAAAAAATTTTAACTGTTCTACTTTTTAGCATGAGTTTCTCTGCAGATGTCCTGTTGACAGTTTGCTTAGCCTCAATCTGTTGGTTTGGACCTTGTGTGAGGAATGTAGTTGTGGTTCCAGGGATCAAACTCTGTCCTCAGGCACCTTTGACCACTGACCCATCTTGCCTCTCCTGCTTTGTCTTAACTTTCAGTGTTTTCAGCTGTTGTTACTTAGCTTACCTTTGCTCTGGCTCGTCTTCCTCCTCTCTCTCTCTCTCTCTCTCTCTCTCTCTCTCTGTGGGTTAGGACGTGGTGCAGCTGCTAGCTGTTGCTCCCGGGGCCTGAGGCCCTTTGTATGTTCACTGTAACATCTCACTGTCATCTGGCAGGGGAGGGCTCTAGGCTTCCTCCTTGGGGTGATTTATCCTCTCACCTTCTTTGTTTACTTGAGACAGGATTTCTCTGTGGAGCCCTGACTGCCCTGGAACTTGCTCTATAGACCAGGCTGGCCTTGCACTCAGAGATCCACCTGCCTCTGCCTCCGGAGGGCTAGGATTAAAGGCACGTGCCACCATTCCCTGGCTATTCTCTCATTTTCATCAAGGCCACACAGGAAGATTTTTTCTTTGTTTGTGTACTTTTTCAGGTCTGTAATTCTCTCGTTTCTTCTGTATCACTTCTATTTCTTTCTAAGAGGATTTTGTTTGTTAGTTTTTTGAGACAGGGATTCTCTGTGTAGCCTTGGCTGTCCTGGACTCGCTTTGTAGACCAGGCTGGCCTCTAACTGAGAGTCACCTGCCTCTGCCTCCCAAGTGCTGGGATCACAGGTGTGCATCACCATGCCTGTCGGGAAATTTAAGAGGATTTTTAATTGAAATATTTTGTGGTTGCTGCTTTCAAATCTTTTCCAAATAATTCTAGCACTTAATATTTAATATTCTTCTGGGCGTTGGTACCAGCTGATTCTTTCAGCATCCAAGTTGTGATATACTTAATTCTTGTTCTGATGTTCTCTCTCTCTCTCTCTCTCTCTCCCTCTAGGATGTTTTATTGTAATAACTGGTCACATTGCTTAAGTCTGCTGCTCATGGTCTTTATTAGACAGGTTTTTTCCCGGCTCAAGGACAAGTCTCTGGTCTGAGCGCCCTCTGGCCCTGGCCTGCTTTTGTGCAGTCAGGTTGGAAGGGCAGCGTAACTGTCGGAGGCCGCGCAGACCCTTTCCCCATACTCCCAGCAGTGCTGCCCGAGGACAGGGGCTCCGAAGGCCAAGCTCCGAGGTGCCTCTGAGTGGGCACACCGCCCTCACCCTGAGTGTCAGGCCCAGGGTGTAGCTCAGCACCTGGCTTGGCCGCTTGCTGTTGGGGCGGTTCCTGGGCTCAGTGTGTGACAGGAATGGGCGTTCTCACACTGCCTTGTTGCCAGGGAAGGTCAGGAGCCAGGGCCAGGGGCTGGGACCCCACCCCCCTCCCCCCCCCCCCCCCCCCCGCCTCCACCGATCCACTTGTCTCCACAGCACTCACCCTCATGTGCCCTCCCCCACGACACCCACCCCAACAGCTGTAAGCTGTAAAGGAGCAGTGTTAACAATGGGCTCAGCCAGCACTAAACTGGGCGCAGCAGCTCTGGATGGACGAACGAGCCACATTTAAATATTCTACTGGGAAGCCTGGTAGGGAATGGGCACCACAGAATCTGTCATAAACTCAAAATACGATGTTAAGTCACCGGGTAGTTAAAAATTAAGTTTTAGTCAGCTCTTCTATTCAGGTCCCTGGAAAGTGAGGTTGTGATCACAAACATTTTTTTTTCGCTTGGGGCGGGGGGGTCTTCCCAAGTGGTCAGAGGTGGGCACCTCTGCTCTGGCTCGGGCCTGTGGCAATGTTTCCTAGAAGCGCCCACTGCCCAGCTGGGATGGGCACCCTCCTGAGCAAGCCCTTGAAGCTGCGGAGGGGTGGATGGCCCACCTCTGGAGCCCATCCAGGTGTGTGCCCCGCAAGCCTGAGTGACTGTCCTGCTCATGAGGGCCAGGCAGTGATGCTTCTGGAATCACAAAAGGGGACATGACTCAGTCCTCCGCCCCAGGGCTTTTCTCCTGTCCCCCACAAGCCCAAGGTTATAAACAAGTGACTCAGAGGCAGGGTTGGGGTGCTGTTACGCCTCCCACCAGTGTCCCAGGCTAAATTTAACCCACAGCTGCAGCCTTTGGCACTTGGAGAATGCGTTAAGCTCCAAGGCTGAAACTGATGTGTGGCTTGGGGGTGGGGGCTAGACAGAAGTCCAGAAAGTGGGCATTGAGGTTGGCTAGCCTCAGCCTCAAATCACAGACAGCTTCAGGAGCCCCAAAGCCAGGCAGGAACATAGTAAGCCTGAAGAGGGCCAGGGACAAGGAGCACTCGGGCGAAGTCCCCGAGTGGAGCAGACTCTGGGGAGTGCCACTATTTCAACAGCTCAGAATGTCGCTAGAATATTGGAGGTTTGAAGGTCTAAACCCCTGAAAGTAGCAGAATCCTAGAAAGCTAATTCCTGGCAGGCCTGAGGCCTCTGAGTGCTGCCTGAAGCAGGCTGCCAGGGGTCCTTTGTCAGAGGGCTTGGATTCTAGCTCCTCCCACTCGTTGGATGGGAGGGGAAACTGAGGCTCAGCAGAGAAACACCTACCACTGTTGACTTAAGGGGTTTGTTTAAGAAAAGGTCTCTGGTCGGGGCTGCAGAGGACACCCCTTCCCATTTTGAGTGTCTCTACACGGACAGGGCATGTTCACCAAGCAGGATGCCTAAGCCTAGTGTGACCAGGAGTGGTCACACGAGGGAAGGGCCGTGAGGAAGGCTGTGCTCGCACAGGCCTCGAAGGCAGGGAAGAGCCCTGGCACAGGGGCCTCCCACCCTGTGGACCTCAGCCTGGGGCCAGAGCCCCCTCCAGGGGCAGCGGCATTTTTGGGCCAAGGAACGCAGAGGCTTCCCTGGGTTGCCGTGGCAAACAGGGGCACTTTCCAGTTCTGAGAAGGCCCGTGAGCCCCACCCCCCACCCCCCGCGCTGAGTCAAGGCGGCTCAGGGAGTAGGCCTCTGCCCAGCTGTCCCCGTGCGTCATGCGGCGCCCGGCGGCTCCTCTTACAGGGTCTGGACACCCTCTATATATAGCCCGGAGCGGTCGGCTCGGGCAGTGCGCAGCCCCGCGGATGGCAGCGGAGCGCAGAGCAGCCCCTGACACCCAAGAGCCCCGCGGAGCCTCGCCATGACGCTGGGCTTGGAGCAGGCGGAGGAGCAGCGCCTGTACCAGCAGACGCTCCTGCAGGATGGCCTCAAGGACATGCTGGACCACGGCAAGTTCCTGGACTGCGTGGTGCGCGTGGGCGAGCGCGAGTTCCCGTGCCACCGCCTGGTGCTGGCGGCCTGCAGCCCGTACTTCCGCGCGCGCTTCCTCGCCGAGCCGGGCGGCGCCGGGGAGTTGCGCCTGGAGGAGGTGTCGGCCGACGTGGTGGCGCGGGTGCTGCACTACCTGTACACGTCGGAGATCGCGCTGGACGAGGCCAGCGTGCAGGACCTGTTCGCCGCGGCGCACCGCTTCCAGATCCCGTCCATCTTCACCATCTGCGTGTCGTTCCTGCAGAAGCGCCTGTGCCTGGCCAACTGTCTGGCGGTCTTCCGCCTGGGCCTCCTGCTGGACTGCGCGCGCCTGGCTGTGGCCGCGCGCGACTTCATCTGCGCGCGCTTCCCGCTCGTGGCGCGCGACGACGACTTCCTGGGGCTCTCGGCGGACGAGCTGATCGCCATCATCTCCAGCGACGGCCTCGACGTGGAGAAGGAGGAGACGGTGTTCGAGGCGGTGATGCGCTGGGCCTCCAGCGGCGACGCGGAGGCGCAGGCCGAGCGCCAGCGCGCGCTGCCCACCGTCTTCGAGAGCCTGCGCTGCCGCCTGCTGCCCCGCGCCTTCCTGGAGAGCCGCGTGGAGCGCCACCCGCTCGTGCGCGCCCAGCCCGAGCTGCTGCGCAAGGTGCAGATGGTGAAGGACGCGCACGAGGGCCGCCTCACTACGCTGCGCAAGAAGAAGAAGGAGAAGGGCGAGGAGGCCGCCAAGCAGGGCCCCGCGGACGCTGAGGCCGAGGCCGAGGAGGAACGGGTGCTGCCCGGGATTCTCAACGACACCCTGCGCTTCGGCATGTTCCTGCAGGACCTCATCTTCATGATCAGTGACGAGGGGGCCGTGGCCTACGACCCGGCCGCCAACGAGTGCTACTGTGCCTCCCTGTCCACCCAGATCCCCAAGAACCACGTCAGCTTGGTGACCAAGGAGAACCAGATCTTCGTGGCCGGTGGCCTGTTCTACAACGAGGACAACAAGGAGGACCCCATGAGCGCTTACTTCCTTCAGGTGCCTGCTGGCCGGGGAGGGCAGAGCGAGGCTGGCTGGGGGTGCCAGGAGGCAACCCTGGGGCCTGGGCGGGGCCTGTGTCTACTTGGGGACTGTCATTGGGTCTAGGACCATGGCTTGGGCGCCACTTGCTTGAAGAGAGGAGTGACAGGACATTTCCAAAGAGCCGTGTAAGGCAGGTGTCTGTGTTTGGGCGTCCTTTGGCCCTGTGCAGCCATCTGGGCAGCTGGGGCCCCCAGCCCTGAGCAGGGGTTGGGGGTCAGGGACAGCAGGGCAATCAAGAGCAGGGCCTTGGCAGAAGTGCCAGGGCAGATTCTCACCCAGAGAGCTCCCTGCCTTCTCTTTTCACTGCCCTGGGCAGGAATCTGAGGCTCAGGAGGGGCTGGGAGAGGGGAAAGCCGAGGGTGGGACTGCAGGACCTCAGACACGGGGAGAACCACAACCCCAGCCCGTGGTTTGAAGCCTTGTTATTAGCTGGGTGAAGTCTGGAGGGGCAGCTGAGTGCCAGGCTTGAGTCCCCAGGCCTCACAGTTGGCGAGGGCAGCTCCCCGGGGCCGGCTACCTTTGGACGTTTTTTCTCTCCGGGCCCTGTGCGTGGGACACTCATTGCTCTCCTGTGTGATGCAAACAGGCTGACTAGTCTCAAGCGCCCATCCACCCACGCGGTTCAGCTCCCAGGCCCGCAGCACGGGCCGCACAGACGCAGAGGGCGGGGCGGAGGGCTGTCGACCTTAAGCGGTGGGAAGCCTGGGCAGAGGGTCCGCTCCTCCCTGTTGGGCGGGGCTGACCCGCGCTGCCCGCCCACAGTTCGACCACCTGGACTCCGAGTGGCTTGGGATGCCACCACTGCCGTCACCTCGCTGCCTCTTTGGCCTGGGGGAGGCTCTCAACGCCATCTACGTGGTGGGAGGCCGCGAGCTCAAGGACAGCGAGGACAGCCTGGACTCGGTCCTGTGCTACGACAGGCTGTGAGTGGGGGCGGGGCCACCGTGGGGACAGGCTGGTCTGGGGCGGGGCCCTGGGCGGGGCTAGGATCAGAGCGGCAGCCTGGAGGCCGTCATGGCCACACACCCTCCGGGTGAGTAAATCCTCCAGCAGAGGGGCAGGTGCAAAGGCCCAAGAGATGGAGGAGGTGGTCCAGGAACGCGCGGAACCGGGCCTGCCGCAGCTGCAGCCCTCCTGTCCCTCCAGATCATTCAAATGGGGCGAGTCAGACCCCCTGCCCTACGCAGTCTATGGCCACGCAGTGCTTTCCTACATGGACCTGGTGTACGTCATCGGCGGCAAAGGCAAGGACAGGTGAGGCTCAGGCTGCTGGGGAGGAGCCTCTGCTGGGGGGGGGGGGGGGAGGCGTGGGCGGCAGTTGTCCCAGCCTCTCTCTCCACTCACCCACCCCACAGGAAATGTCTGAGCAAGATGTGTGTCTACGACCCCAAGAAGTTTGAGTGGAAGGAGCTGGCCCCCATGCAGACAGCCCGCTCCCTCTTCGGGGCCACCGTCCACGATGGCCGCATCTTCGTGGCTGCGGGGGTGACAGACACAGGGCTCACCAGCTCCGCAGAGGTGTACAGCATCGCAGACAACAAGTAGGCTCCTCGCCCCCCCCCCACTATGGCTGCGCACCCCGTGCCAGCCCCTCGCCCCGCTGAGGGTCAGAGGCCCCCATGCTGATCTGGGACACTGGCATAGAAGCAGTCCCCACAGAAGAGTCTGCAGAGGGCTCCGGGTGGGGCCGGGGTGACAGGACTGCTGCCAGGCAGTTACTGGGTCTCACGAAGCAGTCAATCAGGACAGAGAAGCTATCTGGACCACCCAGCAAACATGGCAGCCAGTGGAAGGCGGGGCTCCCCAGAGAAAAGACCGTGCTCACAGCGGGGACCGGCGGGTGAAGGAGCCTGGGAAGGTTCTAGGATGGGAGAGGCGAGGGGTTAAGGCCAGCGAGATGTCTCCTTTGGGTTTAAGCTCCACAGCTCACTGGCTGTCACAGGACAGAAGGTTCAGAATTTTCTCAGGCAGAGGCGTCTGGTTGCAGCTGTGACAAGGGGCGACAGAGCTCTAAAGCTGCGGGTGTATCAGGGAAGGGCTGTGGAGGGCACTGGAACTCGGCCTCCCAGGAATGGGCGGGGCGGGGGAGCTGCGTTTCCAGCCAGCATTCTTTGGCATTAGTGGTGGGTTGGGTCTTGCATGGGAAAAAGGTGAAATGGATGCTTTTGAATAATCTTAAGAGACCAGTTGTTGGGGAAACCTTTGCAGTTAGGTGGCGAATTGAAGGTCCATTCAGGAAATGTAGAGTCGAGTTAGCCGGGGGTGTGCTGGAGGAGCTCCTCGTAGCAGAAAGCTAGGGAGTGAAGACAGCAGAACCATTGCGATGTCTAGGGAGGAATGGGGAGCAGGCGAAGGAACACAGCCTGAGCCTGCGTCCAGCACGCTGGGGACTGGGTTCATCTCGCAGGTACACTGATGCCCACCTCTCAGGGCTATCCATTCGCTGTGATGTGGACGGATGGCAAGGTGATGCAGAAGGGCGGTGGAGGGGGAGGGAGATGGGGAGGGAACAAGTCAAAGGGAAAGTGGGGAGCAGGGCTGGGATGATCAAAGTGATGTGGGTGCTTGAAGGCGAGTGGACAGGAAGTCTGGGTGCTTGAAGGTGAGCAAACGGGAGCTAAGACTGCAGCCTAGAAGCCAGATCCCCAAGGGTGACGGATGCCGGTGGGAACAGTGGCCAGGCTCACTGAAGCCCTGTGTTACTCACCTCCCCTGTCCCCAGGTGGTCCTCCTTTGAGGCCTTCCCCCAGGAGCGCAGCTCCCTCAGCCTGCTCAGCCTGACTGGCACTCTCTATGCCCTGGGTGGCTTTGCCACTCTGGAGACGGAGTCTGGAGAACTGGTCCCCACGGAGCTCAGTGACATCTGGAGGTGAGCCCAGCCCTGAGGCTCTGAGGGGGACTGACTCTAAGGCAAAGCCACCAAATCCGTCTGCCCAGCCTCTCAGCGGCCCATGGCGACTCTGACATGTGGTGGCTTGCCAGTTCGGGGCACCGGCAGGTCACAGACAGGAGGCAGTTCTCAGCAGAGGGCACAGCCCCACAGGCTGCCCTCCCATCTTCTGGGGTACTGTGTCTAGAACAGTGAGGCTGGGAGTGGGAAGTGCCTGGACCCAGGCTCCAAGAGCGGTTCTTTCCACACACTCCTTCCTGGTGTGTCGAAGTCACAGGAGGAAAGAACTAAGCTGGGGCTAAACTCTTTTCAGAGGGCGTGACCTTTGGGACCTGGGAGAGGTCTGCTGGAGACTGCGGGCATCTTTCCTTAGGGTAGCCGCTGTGGGGATCCCACTTCTCAGCACGTGAAAATTGTTTAGAAACAGATGTGCTTGGAGGTGGCCGAGGACACTGGCCACCCCCTTGTGGGGTCAGCGTCCAGCCTCGGGTGACGAAGCTCCCATCCTCGTCTCCTTCTTCCCTTCCCCTCAGATTTAACGAGGATGAGAAGAAGTGGGAGGGCGTCCTCCGGGAGATCGCCTACGCGGCCGGTGCCACCTTCCTGCCTGTGCGCCTCAATGTGCTCCGCCTGACCAAGATGTGACCCTGAGGTGCCTTCCCGTCCTGCGGCCTCACAGAAAAGCCTCTCGGTATTGAGAGAAGAGCTGGGTAGAGGCCGGTGCCCTTCTCATTCCCAGTGTGAGCCAGAGAGGGTCCAGCCAGGGGTGGGACATTGCTACCTGGCTGTTGTCCCTATGGGTCTGCCGGCATCCAAGGCTGTGTCCTGGCCCTGTCCGGGCAGTCTGTGTAAAGTCCCCTAGGGACTCAGTGTCTATGCCAGTCGGAGGGGAGTGTCCGATGACGGCACCTTCTAGCGCTAACCCAGACTCCCCTCGGAAAGCCGGGGAACAGTAAACTGCTGTGTAAATGTCTAGCCCAGGCTCTGGACTCAGCCACCAGGAAGAGCCAGTGTCCAGAGGCTGGAGAGCACAGCAGGGCCGGGCTGTCATGGTGGGCGGTCCTGCGCTTACAGGGCACCCCACAATGTCCTGTATGTGACCCTTCCCCCGAAGCCTGGAACTGCCAGCTCCCTGCCCGCAGCAGAAAAGAAGCCGGGAGACTGCTGTGGTAGAAAACTCTTTTATTGTATTGGTCAGGCTCCATGGCCTGGGCCTGGGCCCAGAAGCAGCTGAGCAGAGCCCAGCCCCCATCCCCAGCCCTACTCCAGCTTCTCTTTGTCCTTCCTCTGCTCTTCCTCCAGCGCCAGGGTTCTCTCCCGCTCCTTTACCAGCTGGACACCACAGTAGGTGACAAACCAGATGGCCAGCGTGGTCTGGGGGAAGCCTGTTGGAGACATGATGCCTGAAGCATCCCGCCCCTGCTGAGTCCCCGGTGCTTGTGTGTTGTATGCAGGGTGTAGATCAGAGGTTCCTGCCCCTGCATGTGGTTGGGAACATGCTGCAGCCTCTCGCCCATCCCTTACCTGTGAGTATCAGGCGTCGGGCCACCAGCTCCGTGAACTCAAGGCTGTTCAGGCTCACGAGGTTGTACATGACGATGGCCCAGAAGTTTACAGCCCCGAAGAGGGCCCGGACCCTCCGAGACATCTGCTCCGATAGCCAGGCCTGCCATCCAAGAATGTGTGGACAAGAGGGCCAGGAAAGAAGGCCATGCTCAGTCAGCGTCAGGCCCAGAGGGACGATGAGAGCTGTGCAAGACAGCCAGGCCCTGCCACCCAGAGGCCGGGGAGAGCCCACCGTGTGAAGCCCCGCCCTGGCAAACACAGGGCTGGATGGAGAAGGTTCCGGACCAGGGACTCCAGAAGGCACAGGCCACCTCCTGTTGCCCAACCGATCCCAGCCAGTCACAGCCCGGAACCTGCTGCCCACCTCCATCTGTGCCAGCGGCCAGTGCTCCGCCAGCTTCTGCACCCACAGCTCAAAGTTGAGGCCGAAGCAGTTGAGGACAGACCACAGGTACACAATGTCGCAAGGACCGAGCCACAGGGTGGTGACCACAAACGTGGCCACGGAGGCGGCCAGCTCCAGAATCACGGCCGAATGGTCCCCACCAATGTGGTCATACACATACCTGCAGGAAAGATGGGAGAGGGGCCCGTGGGGTGTGGGGAGGCAGGACCCTGGCAAGGTGGCCCCACCCGCGCCCAGACCCTGGAGGGGTGCGCTGGGACTGTCACTCCTGCAGCTGGATTTGCCTGGATTGCACCATCCCCAGCACCTGAGCCCCAGATCCTGTCAGCTCTGCTGGGTCTGGCGCCTGCTCTCCCCCTGCACCTCCGCTCCACTTCCTCTCGCTGCTCAGTAGCCTCGTAGGCCTGGTTTTGCCTTTGGCCTCCACTCCATTCTCGACAGATGCTGTAAGTGTGCAGCTCACGGGGCTGGAGGGACATCTCAGCAGTTAGGAGTGTGTCCTGCTCTTACAGAGACCCTGGGCTGCTTTCCCAGCATCCACATCTGGGATTCACAACTACCTGGAACTTCAGTATCAGGACACCCAGTGCCCTCTTCTGGCCTCCACAGGCACTTGTAGCCATGTGGTGCGGACACACACACACACACACACACACACACACACACACACACACACATATATACGTACACAAGTGAATTATTCCTGATTCACAATAAATTAAGCTTTTTATGGTGTGAAGGTATGCAGCCACGTGTCTGCCTCCTGCCCCGGCCTCACCCACCGGCGTGCTGCGCCTGCCACACTGGCCCTTCAGGTATTCAGAGACAATTGGCTCACACCTCAGAGTGTACACTTTCCTGTTCCTCACCCAAGCCTGACTCCAACCTAAAGAAGCTGCCCCACCCAGTGACACCATTTTCTTTCCCACACTTTCCACTCTCTAGATGTGTGTGTGTGTGTGTGTGTGTGTGTGAGAAAGATTCACCTGCTTATGGCCTGCTCCACGGGTTCAGGGTCCTTGCCTTGTGCATCTGGAGTGCCTGCTGCACAGTGCCTGTCTCCCTACCACACACACCCCGCCTACCACACAGTAGGCGCTCAATAAACACCAAGCTCTCACTCCCTGACCTCATTCCCCAGGCTTTCTTCCCCACCTTGCCTCACCCACACCCCTGGAAGCCTCACCTCACCCTCTGAATTCCTGCTCTGCTGTGAAGCTTCCTCTGCTCGGGCCCGCTGGCCTCATGGCTCTTGGATCTCTACACCCCCACAACTGGCTCACAGCCGCCACCATCATTACACACTTGCTGCTTCCTGCTCTCCCACCTGGGAGACTGGTCACCTCCCACAGCTGACGTGGGATGTTTCCCTCCTCAGGTTCCTAAATGCCTCCCCCCCCCCCGTCCTGCCTGGGCTGTCTCCACTCAGCTCCATCTTCCTGCTAGGACGTGGCGACTACACCCGTGGCCTGCAAGGGCCTGCAGGGGGGATGTATGCCCATACCCGCATCTCTTGGCAGCACTCTTGCCTGCTTCAGCCTCTGGGACTAACCTGGCCATCCTGCTCTTTCCCCACCCTCCTTCTCCATCCCTCTTTTCAAGGCTGGCCTCTGCCCTCAGGGACCAGGCTCACTGTCACCCGTCTGCCCCACTTCACCTCAGTGTCCCAGTGTGTCACACTTCCTGGAAGCTGCTCCTCTGGTTTCCCACGCAGGCGCAGGCGCCCTGGACCCCCCTGCACACCCCCAGCAGGTCACTAGCTCCTCTCCCTGCCCTGCCGCTGCAGGAAACGTGGAGGCCTCACGCTGCCAGCACTAGCTCGCCTTGGCTGTGGCAGCGCCCACTTGGACGCTTGCACGCTCTCTTTGGTTCCTGGGCTTCATATGGCCATGCGTCCTGTCCTGCTGACCACTCTCTTCATGTCATTCTGCAGTATCTTCTTCAGGTTCTGACAGTCCTTTTGCCCTATCTTGTGGCCTCTGGTCCCTTCTCGCTTCACTCTCCCTCCCCAGCTCTCTGGGGCCTATCTGGGAGATCCCTTCTCCTTACCCACAATGCTCACTGATGGAGGACCATCAGTCCCCCAGGCTTCCCCTGACTCCAGAGTCTCCACGAGGATATCTCCTGAGTGTCTACAACACACCTGCCCAACTTCAACTAGACATTTCTGTGTGAGAATGTCCTGTCCAGCTTCCCGAGTGGCAGGCGGGAATCTGGGTGCCACTATACTCCCTGGACCCCCCCCCCAACTGAAGGTGGCCTTCTGCCATGCTGCCAGCTGTGTCTCAGCTTCCACCATGCCTGAGGCCTCACAAGGTCTGAGGCTCTGTCTGCCATCCAGCAGCTGCCATAGCCCGTCCCTAAAACCATCACGGGCCGGGCCAGGAGCACCCAGCCGGAAGGCTGGTACCATTCTCACCAACTCACTTGCAAAGCCAGTCATTGATGCCGCGGTCGAAGTGCCTGTGGGGAGAGCACATGAGCGTGAACCTGCCAGGTGGAGCGCCTTTGGGCACGGGGGCCAGTGGCGGGCCCCACCCCCACTCACGTTTCCCCGAAGACGTAGAGGGCGGTGATACACTTCGGAGGCTGAGGCGGGTCCAGGTGGTCCAGTCGCGCCACGGTGTTGACGACCCCGAAGAGCACGGCTGCCTTCACCCAGTCATACACCAGGTTTGAGTAGGCCAGGCCAGCTGCGGACCCGTGACGTCACTGGCCGTGCCCGTGGACGGGCCTCGCCTCCCCTGTGTCCCACTCCCTGTCCACGGAGACCCTGTGCCCCCTAGAAGCGTATGCCCAGGCCCCGGTGACCCATGAAGATCAGACACACCGGGCAAGTGGCGCCCGCAGTTTGGGGGACTACGGGCTTCACGAGATGAAGCAAACGTGAGGCCTACGCGTCTCAGAGGACCGGGCCAAGCCCGGCAGCGCTCTGGAGGCAGCCTCCGTCCCGCTGTGGGAACCCACCAAGAGCACTGTCTGGGAGGCGGCTGGCAAACTTGAGGTCACTGGGGATGGTGAGGATGTAGAAGAAGTGGAAGAAGATGTCCACCGTCACGACGGCCGCCGCGCTGAGCCCCGCCTGCGCCTGGATGCGCCACAGCTCGCCCTGGGGCCGCACGGGGTCCTGGCTCACCTGGAGGGGCAGAGCCCTGCCTGAGCCGGGGAGAGGAGACAGCGCCTCCTGCGGCTCCCGAGGATGGGGTGCGCACGCACGGGGGGAGGGGGTGGGGGGGGCGAGGCAGGAGCCCAGGTCCAGAAAAGGAGCCGCCGCTCTGTGAGGCCGCGGGGTCCCCTCACCTGAGCGTGAAAGCGGTCGAAGGTCATGATGGGCCCGAAGAAGAAGAAGGGCAGGTAGAAATTGTACTTGAGCAGGTCGGCCAGGGAGTAGCGGCGCTCAGGGCGGGCGCAGCTCTCCAGCGCGAAGCTGGTGCATCGCAGCACCGTGAAGCCGCTGCCCCCCTGGAACAGCACGTCTTGAAGCTCAAAGGTGCCCGTGACCAGCCCGCTCTGCAAGGAGACAGCAAGGCCTGGCTCACTGGCCGGCCCAAGCTTCCGGGGAGATCCCCTTCCCCGCTCCCCGTAAGTGTTAGCTCAGCCACGTGACAAAGCAAGGCACAAGCTGAGGAGCAAGAGGCCACCTTACTCAAAGGCCTGAAGACGGGTGGGAAAGCCAAGGAGGTGCTGGGAATGCTCAGGAGACCAGGCCTTTGGGGTCTCCTCCCCATCCCCTCCACTCCTGCGTACCTGCCAAGAAATGAGGGGGTCCATCTTGAAGGAGGCAAGGCTGGCCAGACCAAGGGCAAGGCACAGCCAGGGCTGGCCCAGGAGTGAGGCCACATAGAGGCCCACACAGTGGCCTAGCAGCAGCAGCAGGTACCACGGGCCCATTGTGCCCGCCACAGCCAGGACTCCGTACACAGCATACATCCAGGAGCGGAGCTGTGGACATGAGCAGCCTCGGTTAGGCTCTCTGCACCCCAGGGTAGATTTCCCACAGTGCCGGGCTACAAGGAGTGGGCAGGAGAAGGCCGAGTGCCCTGGGCCCAGCTCACCTGGGGAGCCACCATGGTGCAGAGTTTGGCAAACAGCACGTGTCCCGAGAGGGCAAAGACGATGATGTTCCGGAAGTTGGTGAACCACATCACCCACTCGAAGTCAGCCACATCCTGGACAGCCCGCACAGGAGGGTGCGAGGCAGGTGGGGGGAGTGGAGAGTGGGCAGCCAATCAGAGACCCTGGCCCTGTTCTGAGAACAGTGGCCGAGGTGGCAGCCATTGCTCTGAGGGTTGGGTGAGGGGCCTAAGGACAGGCCTGCTCCTCAAAACTGCCTCATCTGCTCTCAGCTTGTTGCTGCTGTTCTTCCTAAGGGACCCATTTTTTAAAAGAGCCAGAAGGTCCTGACGTTCAAGGCAGAGCCCTCCTTGCCACAGGCACGAAGCAAGTGCAAGGGCAGAGAGTGGGGGAGGAGGTGGGGCGGCATGTGACAGAGGTCAGGGTCCTGAGATGTGAGGGAAACCTACCATCTTCCGGCCCAGGTACTCCCAGCCAGGCCGCACAGACTCACGGAAGGCCTTCCTGTGGGCCCCATCTGTGAACAGAGTGTGGCCTTTGAGTAGAGGCTGTTCTATGCCTTCCTGGGGCCACCCACCCTGAGGATGGGGAAGGACCCTGAGCTGCAGGGCTCGGAGAGCAGGGGGAGGGGTGTAAGGCTTGTTCTGAGTCTACAGCTTTCTGGGTCTAAGACTCGGTTCAGGTCTGGAGCTCTTTTTATTCTCTCTCTCTCCTGTCCTCTCTGTGTGTGTAAAATGGTGTTTGGGACTGTGCCCAGACCTAGGGTCTAGATAATTCTTGGGGTCTACAGTCTCCAGGTTTCTGGCCCTGCTGGTCAAAACTGTGAGGCCTCCTGGGCCCCTGTCCCAGGGCCCAGCGGTTACCTTGGGACGCCTCCAGGAGCCCTCGGCCAGCATAAGCCAGGGCCCCGCTCAGCACCAGGGAGTAGAGGCCGAGCTCAGCTGCGGGCAGCGCCGTCTTGATGCCCATGGCCTGGACAGGGCTGCGGGAGAAGCAAGGGTGAAGGCCCCAGGTGCCAGCCCTGCCAGCCTCGCTGGACCCTCCCTAGTGCTGCGGCCATCTGCGGAGACTTGAATCTCGTCAGTGTCTCTTCCCACGTGAATATCTCCTTCCTTCCTCTGCAGCTGCCGATCTCGCTTCCTTTGAAGGGTCTCTAAAGTCCAGACCTCACGAAGCCCACCATCCTCCTCACCTCTGTGATGGACTGGTCCCAGCCCTGGGGTCTTTCCCATGGGGGACACTCTCTGCCCACCAGTCAGCTTTCCCGCCTCCCTGAGCCAGAGCAAAGCCCTGCTGGCAAGGTCCCTTCCTCTCTGTGACCTCCCTTAGCACCAAGCCCCAGCCTCACTCAGCTCCAGGCTCTGCCGGACCCCAGTCCTCCACCCAGCCATGAGCCTGTCTTGTCAGGCCCCTGCCTGTGTTCACCCACTGTTCCCCGTGACGCTGTGCTGTCAAGCTTTTGCTGCTGGCCAGAGGCTGTGCTCTTTGAGGCCAGGCAGGAACTGGGAGGGCTCTGGCCGCTGTCCAAGGTGCTGACCGGCCTCAGGCCCAGGGTGAGGCTGGTCACTCCCTCTGGCTACCCTGCTGGGCCATCAAGGGGTCTGGGCCGGTCCATCGGCCCTCCCACCCTCTCCAGCCAGGCCTCCAGGAACAGACCTGTGACTGAGTGAAAAAGGAACTCTGTGCCCTTTTTGAGATGGGCAGGGCCACCCATCTCCCCCAACCCAAGCTCTTCCAAATTGCAGGTGTCCTCTCCAGCTCTGCAGCCAGGCATGCAGTCCCCTGCTTGTCACACAGACAGAGGGGTGCAGGCCAGAAAGGAGCAGGGACCCAGTGAAGGGGCCCAGGGAGCTTCTCCACCAGGGAGCTTCTCCACCAGGGAGCTTCTCCACCCGGGAGCTTCTCCACCCGGGAGCTTCTCCACCAGGGAGCTTCTGTAAAGGGCAGGTGTTCTTGGTGAGCCCGGCTCAGACCAGACTGCTGCTGGCTGGACTTGCTGCAGGCCCTGGCCGTCCTGGCCAGCCTCTACACCCTGGCTTGAGGGCTGAAGACACCTCTTCATCAGTAGGGTGGGGGAGGGAAGCAAAGGATCAGGTTAGTGGAGCAGGAGAGTGAAACCGGAGAGGATGGAGAGAGCACAAAATAGCTGTGTCAGCTGCCTCCCACTCGCCACTTTCCAATTTTAGCTCCCCATGGCCGGTGGGGAGCGTCCCCAGTGAGGCCTCAGCAGGCGGCTGGCCTCCAGCCTGCGGCCCCTCCTGACGGACCCCAGGTCCCATGCTGACCACGGACCCAGCGGTAGCCTCTGCCCTGCACCACTTGACTCGGGTGCCCCTGGAGTGAGTCCCACCTTGGGCTCCTGGCCTTCGATGAGGGCCCTGAGGTGGGACCCACAGGCTTCAAGGGCTCCGGAAGGGCTGCACACCCAGCTCGCACTGACCTTGAAGAGGCTTCGTGGGACCCTGGCACACTGCCCACCCCAGGCTCTGGGGTCCTGCGTCCGACCGTGAGTCTGTCTGGCTGGCTGAGTTGTGGGGCCAGGTGGGGTGTGTCCGGCTCTGGGGTCCCCACCCCCTGGAGGCTAGAGCAGTGAGTGGTGACAGCAGAAGGGGGAGGGGGAGGAGGAGGTGGCCTTCCTGGAGCGGAGCAGGCCGTTTGTGGAGCACAGCCGAGCGCTGCAGTACTGATGGCCACAGGGAGCTGCAGGGAGTGGCAGGGAGGATGTGGGGTGACGGGAGACAGGCTCGGACAGAGGCACCTGAGCCTCACTTCACCTCCACTCCTCAGCCCTGGAAAGTCTGTGTTTCCTTTGTGCTCTGTGCCAGTATCTCTTCTTTCGGGAAGCCCTCCAGGCAGTCTCTATAGTCAGCCCTACCCCCACTGCTGGGGCAACCTTGCACATCTGGGCCCTTTGAACTCCAGCCACCACCTTCACCAGTGTCCCCTCAAGGGTGCCCAGTGCAGGGCCCATCTAGTGCCCACTCTGTGTCTTCATCCTGACAAAGAGCCTGGGCTAGACAGGTGTTGGTGCTGAGGGGAGGGTGGGCTTCTCTGGTAGAACTGGAGCCAGCAAGGACCACGGTGCTGAGGGCTCCAGTCTCCCAGCCTTGTCCCCACACGGAGCTGTCTGGGTGGAAGGGTGCCGTCAGGGTCACCTGGAATGGATGGTGTCCTTATGGCAGGCAAGACACCCTAATGTAGCATGCCTAAGCAACTGAAGCCCCGGCTGGGCAGGGTCCTGGGAGACTCTGCTCGAGTGTATCCCCACAGCCGGGGAAGCTGGGTACGTGGCTCCGATCTTCCTGGGCTGCTCTCCTGCACAAGGGCTTGCGGAAGGGTCCTGGGAGCTTTGTGGCCGTCACTGTCCTGTCTAAGCTCAACTGAGGATGAACGCGGAGGAAGGTGTCTCTCCACCCAGCGGGCCCTGTACAGCCCTGAGAAGTTAGGCCGAGAGCTTCCCTCCCAGGAAGGTAGACATGTGGGCCCAGGGGACACTCGCCTCTGGCCCTAAACAGAGCGTCTGGCAAGGGGCGGAAGTGGAGTTGCTGCCTGGGGATGTGCTGGGGTCCTGAAGGCAGAGGCAGCTAGTGGAGAGGAGGAGGAGGCCGAGCCAGGTTCTGCCTTTCGGGGCAGGTGCTGGCTATCAGGGATAGTAAATAATGGCCAGGATGAGAGGCCCCCACCGTCCACGAGGACTGGCTCCAGCTGGTAGAGAGAAAACGGAGGCAGAAGGTCAGCCAGCTCCGGAAGCTTCTGGAGGTCTGCAGCAGAGTGAGAACTCAGTCCACCCTGGCAGAGCGGGTGAGACCACGGCAGGTGGGCCACGCACTGGGTGAGACATTTCACCCTTCAGGGCAGCGTCTCATGACTAAGGATAAACAATCAGCCAGTCCCACAGGTCCTGCTCCCCTACTTATGCAAACAAGGACTTCTGAAGCACCCTCAAAAGCTCTAAGCTACTGGTGGAGACAGACACTCTCCAACCTGCCAGCCTCCTGCAGGCCGTGAGTGTGCCCCAGGCCTCTGCAGGCTGTGAGTGTGAGTGTGCCCCAGGGTCCTGGGCTGAGTGTGCCCCAGGCCTCTGCAGGCTGTGAGTGTGAGTGTGCCCCAGGGTCCTGGGCTGAGTGTGCCCCAGGCCTCTGCAGGCTGTGAGTGTGAGTGTGTCCCAGGGCCCTGCGGGCTGCCAGTGAGTGTGCCCCAGGCTCCCAGCTGTGTGAGCTGTCACCTGTCTGACCTGGGCTTTGGTGATGCAGCTGTCATTGACTCATTTCTGCTCCTGTGAGTGACCCCAGTAAAATCCACTGGTTTACGAGCTGGACTTTGGTGGTATCCTCACTTTGGTCGGCTGTTGGTTCCCTGTCTGGGGTGAGTGTGTGCTTGTGTCTTCCCAGGAAAAGTATCACACACCACGATGCCCTCAGGGGATGCCAAGGGGCTGAAAAGTTGAAGCCACTGCTCTGGGCCTCTGATTTCTCAGTTGTTAAGTGGGTGTAACTAATATGCCTGGCCTCTCTGTGTTTTGGGGGCTCCAGTGACCCACCCTGAGGGTACTAATCATTGCCCATAGAGGTGCAAGGGAGCCAGACCCTGAGGCAGGGCCCGATCCACGTCGGCACACTCCCTGGTGAACCTGACACTGCAGCATACGGGGATGTGGCCTGTGGGAAAGCAGAGGCGGAGGAACAGGTGAGTCCCTCCGAGCCAGGGCTGCAGGATGGCTGCTGGCCCAACGAACGGGAACAGGAAGCTGACTGGGCTGAGGCCGCACAGGACCGTGACCTGCATCCTGATGCTCAGGCATCCATGGGAAAGTTATGACAAGGGAGACCCCACTTCCACCAAACCACAGGGGCTCCTCCGCTCAGCCTTTGTGTGCTGCTTCCTAAAGTGAAAATTCGGGCAAGGCCCGGGGTGTGCACTCGGAGACTCAGGGACGGCGGGAGAGTGCACGTGGCTGACCCAGCTGGCACCGCTTCTATGTCCCAGAGGCCCACAGGGACAGTGGCTACACCCATGGCACATCCTGTCAGCACAGGAACCTGAGCTCCACTCCCAACCCACCTGCACCCCTCCCCTCTTATCTGGCCCACGTGCTGAGGGGTGGAGTGCTCATCCACAGCCCCGGGACAGGGGGTACCAGGAGACTCTGAGGCGCACAGACCCAGCTGCCCTCATCCCCTCCTGACCCGGCCGAGTGAGAGCCCACCTTCGAGGACTTCCAGCTGTTCTGCCCAGCCCCTTCCCCCACGAGTCCTCCAGGGTTGGGGGCTCCTCCATGCCTGCCTGTGTCCTCTCTACCCACCCATCACCACCTCTTTCCCATGTGCCTCTGACTGGTCACTTTCAGCTCAGGCCCGTCCCAGGCCTAGCAGGGCAGTGAATGCTTGTGTCTGAGTGTGTGGCAGGCCATTGGCACCTGAGCCTCCCCTCGGGAACGCTGCTCAGCAAGTGCTGACTGAACGGGGAGACGGCACAGAGCGAGCATTTAGTGAGCCCTTACTGTGTGCCCGTCGCTGCTCTGCACACACTGAACACTAGCTCAGTGAGTGCCGAGGCACACTGGTCTGCTTCAGCCAGCAAAGGCGGGGCAGGCCCTGGTGCAGAGCCCCGTGCAAGGATTTCAGGTTGCCTGGAGGTTTTACAGACTCTACTGCTGGCCTGTAAGTCCAGCCCCTGCAGGAGCGGGCATAGGTCTGACTGCCTGTGCAGACAGGCCTCTGTAAGATGCCAGCTCCCCACAGTATACACTTGGGACTCACTGGGGTACAGGCCTTCTTCCTCTCCCATTGTTTTACTGGCATAAAGCATCTCTGGACACTTGTCCTCTCGCAAAGGCACTACCCAAGTGCCTTGCTCTGAGTGGCCCTCTGGACAAGGTTTCTAGAGCTCCTCGTCTCACAGATGAAGACACGGAAGTAGGGGGGATGAAATAAACAGATGGTCACAGTCACAGAGAGGGGGTACCGTAGGCCGCTTCTGCTGTACCCCCAGCTCACCACAGCAAGGAAGACACAGCTCACGCGGCCAGACACCGCCTCACCTGCCCACCCTATGCCCAGCCCTGCCTGGACCGCCTGGACCCCAGCACCCACAGCTCTGCAAGCAGATATGGGTGGAGTTGTGCAGCCTTGGGGCATGCCAGGGCACCGGCACCCCCCCCCCAGCTGGGGACCCTGGCTTTGCATTCAGGACCACCAGAGTGGCCTATTGGCTCAGCATCTATTTGGAGGCCTGGGCTCACTCCTAACTACCGACCACAGATCAGGCTCCCCCACAGGCACACATTCAACAGAACTGAAGTGACTGAAAGCAGACTTGTTATTCCAAGTCCAAGGCTCTGCCCTTTGCCGTAAGTCCAGAGAGAGGCTGGGCGCAGCAGATGGATGGCCAAGCTGGTGGTAGGGCCCAAGTGAGGGGTTATGGGGGATAATGGTCAATGCCCCCATCAGGAAGCACCAAGAGGCTGCTCTGTGTGTGGAGAGCCCGTGGCACGGCAGGGCCCTGGAGAGGGCAGGAGTGCCTGCTCGAGGAAGCGCACCGCCGGGGCTCCTGCCCGGGCATGCTCAGCTTGCCTGCTCTGCAGGTCTGAGCTCCCCCGTGTGGGTGCTGCCTGCACCGATGAGCCATCCTTCAGGGCTCTGTGCTCCAGGTGAGCCGGCAGCATGTCTACTGCTTGTCGGCCTTTTGCTGCCGTAGCGCCTTCAGGAAGACCCCCTTCACCTGGCCCAGGGTCTGGTGGTACATGCGGAAGTCTTCCTCCTTCCCTCGCAGGGCGCTGCCCAGGGCGTCTCTCAGTATCCCATTCTCTTCCATCTGGATGGCCAGCCTGGACCAGAGGGAGAAGGGGGCTGAGCACACAGGCCAGCAGGTGTCCCTGGGCCTGGGGCCTGAAGACGAGGCTGTGGTATGGGCAGAGGACTCCCTCCCATCTGCCCCTTCTTCTCTGGGCCCTGGGACACACACACCACCCACAGTATTGACCCAGAAGCTCCCAGATTCCGCTGCACCCCCATTTTTGTCTTGTTTTCTCTTTCTACTTTTGGAGACAGGCTTATGTGTCTCCAAGGCTGGACTGGAGCTCAGTAAGAGGCCAGGGCTGAACTTGAGCTCATTCTGCCTCCCCGACTGCTGGAGTGCAGGCGCCAGCTGTGGGCCCCTTGCCTCTATACACAGCACTGGCGGCAGAACCAGGGCCCTGCATGTGCTGTGGCTGCCTCTACTGACTGGGGCACATCCTCGCTTCCTCTTTTGAGAACTTAGGAGCACAGCCCAGCACTGATACAGGTTCTCTTGGAACCCTGGGGTCATCAGGGCACTGTGGACGCCTCCAGGCCGGTCCTAGCACGAAGGGCTTCTGGGCAAGCAGAGGTCCTGCGTGCAAGGAAGAGCGGCACCACCCTCTGGCCAGGGAGCCTCCATTCGGGCACCTCTACCATTTTGGGAAGGCTGGGAAGGACGCACCTGGCAGTCAGCTCCACGATCTGGGATTCCATGGGCAGATCAGATTGCTGAGTGCAGGACGAATCCTTTTTGGTGCTCCCGGCTGAGTTGTGCTTGGTGCTGGCAGCAGGTGGTCCTGGGAGGGAGGCAGCCACCTTCTGTAGCTAGGTCAGAACTCTGCAAATGCTCCCTTCTCCCCTCCTACAGGGCGCAGGGTGGGGCTGCCTCTGCCTGGAAGCCTTCCCTGACTGCCTCCCCACCTCTGGCTCTGCCCTCTGCCCTCTGCCCTCTGCCCTCTGCCCTCTGCCGGGCCCTGGCCCTGCCTGCTTCCGGGCAGTGATCCGTGGCCACCCACCTCCGCTCCTCCTCATCTCTGTCACTTGCTTGTACTGGGAGAGGACAGTGGGACCTTAGGCCTGGCCTGAGAGCTGAGCCCAGCAGGGTGCTACTGTTTGTGAGCCCCACCCCCTGGTCCCCCTACTGGCTGCTCTTCAGCCTTCATACTAGGAAGCTCTGGGTGACTAGGCTCAGAGGCCACAGAGTGCTCAGTGAAAGACGACAAAGCCATTGTGACCTTGGGTGATGATGTCATGGCATCAAAATATTTTGAGCTAAAAAGGGCCTCGGGAAACTGCAGCCTTAGCAGAATTGGCCTTCACCCCTGCTGTGTGGCCTCGGTAAACCATGGGCCTCTCTGAGGCAGATGCCTCACCTGTCAGACAAGATGGCAGTGTCAGCCCTGGCACGGCAAGGACGGACGGATTCACATTTGTCCTCAGAGCCTGGGCTGCGAGATCACTGACTGAGAACCCCTATGACTTCTGCTTCACCCCACTGTCCCCCAGCCTCCTGCCTCCTGCCTTCCCCTCTCCTCTGCCCGGGCAGCTGCCTTCGCAATCTGACTGTGTCAGACTGTGTCATGAGCTGTCCAGGCGCAGATGGAGAGCAGGAGAGCTCTGCTCCCAATGGGCCAGGGAGCTGCAGAGGCCACATGGGCCCTTCAGGCACCTTGGACCAGATGCCAGAAGGAGAGTGATGCCCAAGAAAGGACCTCAGGGCTCCAGCCATGGAAAGCCCACCTGAGTCCTGCCTACAATCTTCTCCCGCCGTGCAGGCCCAGCCAATCCCGCTGGAGACCAGTTTCACCCAGGGCCTGACTAGTCTCCATCATGGGTCAAGTCAAGGCTCTGGCAGCTGGCACACGGGGTAGTGGCAGAGGGCACACAGCAGGGGCACTGCCATTTCATTCCTAGACGGCACCCACTGAGGCCCGCGTCTCTAGGAGGCAGGGTGGGTAATGGGCCCCTTCACACACACAGCAGGGAGCACCCCATACTGGCTGATGGCACGCACAGGCGCCCGCCTGCTCCTCAGGCCACGTCACCTCCCAGGCTCCTACCTGGCTTGCTCCTAGCAGCCTTCTGGGACTGCGAGGTCCTGGCCGGCTCCAGCCGCATCTTCTCCAGGTGCTGCTCCAGCACGACAGCCCGCTGGCGCTCCTCCTGCAGCCTCCTCTCGGCTTCCAGCAGCTTGCCGCTGCTCTCCTCCACCCTGGCCACGAGACACGGTGTCACACCCTGGCCACACAGGGGGCACACTGCGGAGGTGGCGGCTCCCGCCCTTGTCTTGATGTTCATGGCACTAACACCAGAACAGGCGTGTTAAACGAATGTAGTTCTCTCCAAGGCCTCTGGGGCAAAGCTGGCAGGATGCTGCCGCTGTGCCCCCAGCCCTGTCCTCACAGCGGCCACCTCTCCGGCTGTCCTGCTGCTGTGGCAGACCTCTCTGCTGCCCCTGCAGATGCCCACGAGCGTGGAGGCTTGGGCACAGGTCTTGGCTTCCTAGCATGCTGATGATAAGTTCGTTTTACTGCCCCCTGTCTCGCTCACTCCCCTTTCCCCGTCTCAGCCCTGCTGCCTGGAGGTGGAGTATCTGCTTCCTACTGCTGCTGTAACACAGCCATCACAAAACCAGCAGAAATCAGCGCGCGAAACCAGCACAAGGCTGCTCGGGACAACACGAGGTCAGTGTCTCGTGCCTCTCTAAGCCTGAAGCCAGCAGGCTCCATGCACCACGGGTTGAGATCCAAGGGCCTGGGTTCCTACCTGCAGTCCCCGGGGGCGGGGGCGGGGGTTCTCCAAGACCACTCAGAGCACGGCTGCACCAAGCGCGCCTGTCCTCCCTGCCTCCCGCGGCTACAAAGGGTGCGCTGCCTCTCCGTCCTCCAAGCTGGCTTTGAATCCCTCTGACCTGAGTCAGTCCCCACAGTTTTCTAAATGGCCCCAGGTAGAAAGCCATCTTTCCTCCAATGGGCAGAAGAGATTTCCCAGGATAACCTGGATTTGGGGCCAATGACGCACTACAGAGTGTTCAGAGAGAGATGCCACAGCCTGCCTCTCAGGCAACTGTATGACGCTCCAGACCAGGGCGATAACCGCACTTATGTCTGCTTCCCTGGACTTAATGTCATGTGCTTCTTACACTGCTTCCTCTATGGCTGCTGCAAGCTCAAGGCCCTTGAAGGGCCTGCTGCAATTATTTCATGTGGAAGTTGGTTCCGTCCCACGGGCCTTGCTGTGGCTCCAGAAAGCACTCTGGATCTCTGTGGCACTAAAAACTCAGAAGGAATCTCTGATCCAACCCAAACAAAAGGTACAGGAACAGATCGGAGCTGCAGCCTAAAGCCCACAGCAGACCGCTAGGAAGGACCTTTCTGTATGGGCGAAGGGACACCGCAGCCAGCAGCCATGAGGCGTGTGCTTCCTGGAACCTCAGCTTCCAAAGAAGACTACAAGGACACGCATGGAAGGTGGGGCTGAGCTCACGCCCCAGCACGGTCGAGCCGCCCGGTGTGGTGCGGTGCCCGGTGCCCACACATAGCTAGTGCAGGGAGTGAGGGTTAGCAGGAGCAGCTGGCTCCTGGGCACACGGAGAAGGCGGGCTTTGGGAGGCTCCTGGGGTGGCTGTGCTGCCTGCCGTAGACCTGCACCGGCTCTGTCTGTTCCCAAGGCAGTCCCGCCGTAACCATCAACACCAACATGGCTGCTCGGCAGGCCACAGGGTCAGCGGACAGGACAGTGACATGGGAGTACAGACAGCACAGGGACAAGAATTCGGTCCCTAGGCAACACATCTGCGGCCTGCCTGTGCGTATCTGCAAAGCTGGAACCCGGCCCTGGACAGCAGGGTGGCGGGGGAGGGGAGAACGGAAAGTGGCGTACAGCTCCTTCTGGCCACCGCTTGCCATCGCTTGCCATGGTGGCAAGATGGCTCAGGCTCCATCTGTGCTCGTAGAGGTCTGCAGCAAGAGCAAGGACTTGCCCTGGGAGGTGTCACCGGATGGCCCGTGGGAGGAAGGCGGCTGCAGCCATGCAGGTGGATGAAGTGGCCACGGTGCCTGGGCTGACGGCCCACGCCCCCAACTCAGCCTCCCTAAAATCCTGCCCATGAGGACTCACATGCTTCCTACTAGAATGGCCTTCACTGGACTTCCCTGTCACACAGCATCATGTGCTACGAACGGGAAGACGGGAAGACGCCATGAAGGAAGTGAGGCGTGTAAGGAAGGGGCAGGGCTGGGTAACAGGAGGACCTTCCGTGGGGAGTGCCCATAGCTGGGACCTACACTGCAGAGAGGGCCCAGGGGAGGGCCCGCACTGTGCCCAGGACTGGCAGATTCACTGGGGGAATGTGCGAGGCTTTAGGACAGGCATGTGGGCACGCTGGAGATGAGCATGCGCACCTGCCCTCCTGACTGGAGAAAAGCAGGAGTGCCCCAGCAGCGTCAGCAAGAACCATGCAGCTGCCCTTCCCGCTAGACACAACAGTCCTGAGGGAAGCAAAAGTCTGTGTCACAAAGAAAAATGAAGGAACGACTCCAGAATCAGGAGCAAAGGCATTCCAAGGAGGCAGCCATGAGTGAACACTGAATGACGGGTGAGCAGGGGCAGAGGGTCCTCCAAACACACGGGGGCGCAGGCCTATGATCCCAGCAGCAGGAGGCAGAGGCAGGCAGAGCTTTGTGAGTTCGAGGCCAGCCTGGTTTACTAAGCTAGGCCAGGACAGCCAAGGCTACACAGAGAAACCCTGTCTTGAAAAACAAAAACCAAACAAACAAAAAGCCAGGCAAGGACAGTTCAGAAACCAGGAGGGAGATAAAGCCTCCAGGAGAAGCTGTCAGGAAAACTCCCTGCAGTAAGGGGTGACCAGAGCTCCTTCGGTGTGTGGGTCATTGAGTGACCATGCGTGTGTGTGTGTGTGTGTGTGTGTGTGTGTGTGTGTGTGTAAAGGCACAGCCCTGAGCCTTTACTACTGAGCCATCTCCCAAGTCTGATCGGTTAGTTTCTTAGGACTCCCCGTTAAGTCACCACAGACTTGATGTCTTCAAACAGCACAAGAATTCCCGAGAAAGAGAGGAACATCTGCAGCTTAACAAGGGGACTTAAGACAACCCCATTAAAGAGCAGGCAGAGAGTCCTGTGCCTCAAAGAAGACATGGGAATTATCGTCAGCATCTGCACGGAAGGTTGGGGACCTGTCATCACCGGGACAGCCGAACCACAATGAGATAAACCTGCTGGGTGGCTACTGCTGGGACAACCACCCTCAGGCCTCAGGAGGCTGCCTGGCAGCGTAAGAACCCGAGGTTAGGCTGTGATGACGCGAAACGTGCTTTCCACAGAGGATGAAGAGCGCAGGTAAGTGTCCTCACTAGTCACCATTCTCAAAGTTCCTAGAGGCTGGGTCAGGACCAAGTACAGGGCCATGCGTTCACCCACAGCTCTAACCACGGCAATCAGGAGGCAGGAGGATGGCCCCATGACTCTGGGGCCAGCCAGGGCTTCGGAGGGAGGCCCTGGCTCAGAACAAACACCAGCAAAGCAAAACAAAACAACACTCCTTCTCAGTCAAACGAGGGCAGAATAAGCACCTTAACACAAGAAAGCACTTGAAAACTAGAAAGCAGTGACTCAAACACAGCGGTGCTAAATAAATTAGGGAAGTCATGAGATCAGCGCCACAACCGTAAAAGAATCCATGTGGACGAGGAGACCCGTGGCCATCGGGTGAAGCAGGCAGAGCTTATGCATAATGAAGGGCTCCATTTAAATATTTATAACAAATTAAACATTCAGAACAAACAAATCCCAGGTTCCTGTCCCTCTGCTCCTGAGTCACGTGGGGAAGGAAGGGCTCTCGTTTCCGCTTTGCTTTGCTCTTCCAGGAATGCTTGCATTATGTTTAACTGTGGAGAAACCAATACTGTCATCACGGGAATGGCAGAGCATGATGCCAGTTTCAGAGTTTCAGTGTGTGTGTGTGAAGGGGGTTATATGTATACAGATACCATGTGCTAACCCCTGTAGAGGCCACAGATCAACCTTGGTGTCCATCCTTGGACACCAGCCATGTCTTTTTCAAGAAAGGCTTCCTCGCTGGCCTGGAGGTGACCACGTGGACTCAGCTAGGTAGCAGGCCTCAGGCATCTGTTTCTTGTCTGCCCCCAGGTTTGGGACTACAAGTTCATATCAGCACACCCTGTCCCCAAGCAAACAAGGGACGGCCTCCTCACACACACAAATGAAACACTATGAACAATAGTGGAATGATTTTGGGAGAACTAAGTAAGTCAGCAAGCAAGAAAACACGCTCCTGGGGAGACGAGCAGGAGGTCGTCCTCACCTGTGTAGGAGCCAGCCTGGGCTATTCAGCACCACCAGCAGCCGCTTTTAAGGTAGGGTTCATGGTCTCCCATCTTTGCAGACCCCTGTGCCTCACATTCCTCCTAAGCTCCCACTCAGGAAGAAGGCATCACAAGATAGTGAAAAACAAAGAGAGCTGACATTTCCACCTGGGAGAGGCAGGAGGAAGCGCACCAGAAGACACCAATGGGCAGAACAGGACCCAGCGGTGACAGTGGATGGGAGCAGCTGGGAGGAGGGAGCTTGGTACTGAGAACACAGCCCTGGTCTGTCGTGACGGAAGCAGCAAAAGCCAGCTAAGCCTGCACGAGGGACAAGGGTGAGGAAGAGTGGAGAGCAATCACAGCTCTCGGGGAAAGCTGAATCACAGAAAACACCCAGTGCTCTCGGGAGGGGTGGTGAGGTAAAGAAGGGTCATGAGGTCAAGGCCAGCCTGACCTACAGCTGAGCTGTTACCCCAACAAAACACAACAGCAAAGCCAACTGCGTTCTTCTGAAGTCACGTCTAGTTACCTTGCCGTGGGAGACAGCCCAGCTCAATGCGAGCGAGGGAGGAAAAGGCTCCGCTGGTAAACACACTTGCTGCCAGACCCTACAATGTCCGTCAGTCATATGGTGGAAGGAGAGACCTGTTCTGAAAGCTGCCTCTGCCCTCCACATGCCTGTCCTGGCTCATGCTCTCTCACCACACACACACACACACACACACACACACACACACACACACACACACACACACACACGCATGCACACGTGTACACACGCACACACAATTAAATATATATTAAAAAAAAAAACCAAACTTTTTAAAATGGATAAAAATCTAAGAGGCAGCTTATCTCTTGACACTGGACCCAGGCCTGAAGAGAAGAGGGCACTGCTGAGGCCAGCGCTCCCAGGTCTGCACAGCCTGTGTGAGGCAGGGCCCTGCCCGAGTGCACCCTGGGGTGAGGGTGACCACAGCTGAGCAGAGCAGCTTCCCCAGGATAACAGACGTGAGACAGGGGAGACCCCACACAGGGGAAGCTCAGGCTACCCGCAAGGAAAGTCCCCAGAGGCTGGCGTGTGCATTCGTGTGAGTGTATGTGCGCGCGCGCCCAGGAAGTGATGGGCCTGAGGACAGTGTCAGGGAGTCCCCGGGTGGCACGGGGTGTTAGGATGAAGCTGCAGGCTCCAAGCAGCAGACAGAGGCGTGTGTGATTATGGATTCCCTTTTCACATGTCCTGGCCGATGGCCCAGCCCTGTGTCACCCAGGAGAGGCCGCCCAGGTGGAGGAAAGGGCAAGGTGGCAGTTGAGTCACCTGATCACTGTGATGGACAGGGGCCCTGGGAGAGCCAGTCACTGACGTCATGTGGAACAGTCCTCAGTGAGCACGGCTGAGGACCGACCACTGTGTCTCAAGCCAGTGTGTCTGTAGCCTAGGGGAACGGGCCCTGGTGGAGGACGTGACTGCCTTTTGACAGGCGTGAGCACGGCTTCGGAGAGTGTCTGCACGCCCAGTGCCCCCTGCTTCTGTGCTGATCATGCCCACTCCTCTGGTCACAACACCCTCTTTTCTTCAGTACCCCCCAATCCTTTGAGCACCTGAAGTACCTCCAGTCTGGCTGCCCTCTCTTGGGTGGTCGAGGGGCTAAAACCTTCAGAAAACACGGGCAAAAGAAGAGTCTCCCCTGGCCACCGCTGGGCCTCGCTGCTCTGCGACTCAGCATTTCCCAGCACTTTCCAGGTCTCCCCTCCACTAAGCTCAGGCAGCACTGCTTTCTGTCATCTGTGGCCAAAGAGGCCTGAGTGACACCTGACACCCTGTGAAGACAGGAGCCTGTGGGTGTCCTTTGTATTTTTTAGGGCAGAGCTCACGGGGCTGGCCCACGTGCTGGCCTGGGTTCCAGCAGCTCTTGCCATTGGGTCACTTGAGCAGGGCACTGAATGACTAAATCTGTCGGAACCCTCTGGAGACAGCTGGATCTCCAGGGCACCCCAGCTGTGCACCCCTTCTTACCTCCCAGAAAGCTCCTTCCCTAGCCGCCTCCTGCTCCTGGCTACCGCCAGCATCAGGCGAGGCTGTGTCTTTCCCCACAGACTCCCTGGCAGCTTGGGGAGGGTGGCTTCACCACCCCTTGAATTTGCCCGGCTGTGCAGGGCTGTCCCTGGGAACAGGTCTTATCATGGTGACAGAAGCCAGGGCTGCTGGCCCTGGAGGGCAGGTGGGCTGTGGTTGTGAGAGAGCCCAGTCCCAACCAGCCTAGGGGAGCTGGCTGGGCGCCACGTTACCGCTTCTGCAGGACAGTGACGAACTCGCTGAGGCGGTCCCGCTCCACCTCGGCGGCCTGCCAAAGGGCCTTCATCTCTGTAGCTTTTGCCTGCCAGCTCTTCGGTTCCGGGGAGTCTGAGAACCTGGGCCAGAGTGGAGGGCAAAGGGCAGAGGTCATGTGAAGTTCAAAGACATGAGCATCCCCATAGAGCGGCAGAGGGGAGGGAAAGCTAGCCACTGTGCCTGGCTCCCTAGGTCACTTGGCCCCACTGGCTGCCAGTGGCCTTGGTTCCTCTGTCAAGCCCTGTGGGGCCCCAGGTCCCAGGACATGGCTTTTGGGGCTGGTCCCCCACCAGTGTCAAGTGGCCACCCTCGGCCAATGGCCCTGTACTACTCAACGTCTGGCTGAGCGTCACAGGTCCTTCCTGGGAGACGGCAGCCCAGAGCCAGCCAACCTGCTTTAGAGCCACTCGGTAAGCCTCCCTGAGGGTGGGCCCGCCTGAGGCCTGGCCTGGGTCCTGAGCTGACCTGCATGAGTGAAGGGGTGTGCTGACGGAAGGAGTCTCCAGTGGGCAGTGGGCGGGCTCAGAGGCAGCACAGGCCATTCTTTGTCTATGAGGAGAACAAAGGTGCATTCAAGCCCTGAGCCCGGTTACGTCCACAAAGCAGGGTCAGGGAGCTGAGGGGATATCACTGACTTAGTGGGGACGCACATGGGGGGTGCTTCCCCCGAGAAGGTTCTCAGTGGGTCAGGGAAGGCCAGGCACCCCATGCTGACTCCCCTATAGCAGCAAAGAGACCTGGCCTGGCCGTCCAGGCCAAGCTCTGGCTCTGATGCTGTTTACTCTGTCAGGTGGCCCCGCTTTGGCTGCTCTGGCCTTATGTAACCCTGGAAGAATGCCTGGCCTTTGCCTGGCCTCAGTCCCCATTGTCCCCATAATGGGCTGTGGAGCCTGAGCGAGGGAAGGTGGTAAGACTCCAGAGCTCAGGGGTTCTGTCCTCCTACCTGGGTGAGGTCCCATGGGGACTGGGCAGGGATGGCCTCGTGAGAGCAGATTCCACCAGTGTGTGGCCCAAGCTGGTCACGGAGCTGTGTGAAGGCAGAGGGGGACATGAGCAGGAAAGGAGCGGGCACTGCTAGGCCCCACAGTGGGCAGGAGCCAGCCACGTGGGCTCCACGGTTTCCCGTGGGTTGGCTGCTCTTCCTTGCTCCAGGTAAAACAGAGCCCCAGGCAGTCCACAGCATTGAGTCTGACACACATAGGATTCAGCACACACTAAGGCTGGTGAGGAGGCTGGTGAGGGGCCAGCAGCAAGGGCCTGAGTGTGATGAAACCTGGACGGACAGCTTCTCTCTGCCATGGAGCCAACAGAATAGGAGAAGCTCTCAGAAGAGCAACAGCAGGGCAGCCATCTTCAAACAGTGCCGTGTGTGTGTGTGTGTGTGTGTGTGTGTGTGTGTGTGTGTGTGTGTAGGTGTTTGTGTGTATGGCCTGTATGTGTGTGTGTTGGGATGGTTTAATTGCCTAACAAGACCCTTGTGTTGCTCTTCAGTTCTGTGTAAACTGGTGGTGGCACACTTCTGTAATCGTGGTAACGGGAGGCAGAGGATTGGGAGCTCTCAGCGATTCTCATCTACATCTCGAAGTCAAGGCCTGGGATGCTTTATTCCCAAATTCAAGGCCTGGGGTGCTCTGTTCCCATGTCAGAAACAGAAGCCAGAGCTGGCGGCCTGGGACTGATCCCAGCACTTGGGAGACAGAGGCAGGAGGATCTCTGTGAGTTCCAGGCCAGCCAGGACTACACAGTGAGATCCTGTCTCAAAATAAATAAAAGAGAACAACTTTGCACCCAGGGCCTCTCCCCAGGATAGCACACAGTCCTCACAACCCTTCCAACCCGTGTTTCCCTTACCGGGACGCCCCGAGCCTGCCACCGTGATCGCCTGCCGAGGCTGGAGAGCCGGTTCCCGGCGTCCGGTCCTCAGGGAACCTGGCCTGGGTGGGGCTGGCCCCCTCACCCCCTCCTCTACTGTGAAGATACTGCAGGGAACAGATGTGGGGTTGGGGTCAGAGCTTTGGTGCGGAGGCCGGAGTGGCTGGAGGGAGCCTTGGCTGCTTCCCAGCTTTCCTTCTCTTCAGAGCTGAGGCTGGCCTGGGCAGGGAAGACACTGGCTGCATAACAAGGCCATCTCACAATGCCTCTGTTCACAGGAGGCTCCAGAGGGAGAGCAGCGAAGGCCAGGGCTGTGAGGTCAGGGCTGGCATCTGTGAGGGCCCTTGTCCCCGCTCAAGGTGTGACGAGAGGCCACCATGATCACAGTCCTGACCGCTGATCCCCAATGCAGGGAGGGCCCGTGACTGTGCGGAGGGGCTTCCCAGATCCCTCCTTTGTTTAGCCCCTCCCTCTCCTGGGTACCAGAAGACCCCAAGCAGGAGGTTGGGCCACCGGGACAGCAGGGGTGTGGCTTCTAACAGCTTGCTAGGGTATGTCCCCAGGAACCCTGGGAAAACTGGAATGTGCACTTGCATCGGGGTGCCCAGGGGGCTGGCAACCTTGGGGTACCCGGGACAAGGACAGGAGTGAGGTGACAATGCTCCATGCACCCCTCCCCAGGTCCCAGGGCCGCAGACTGCAAGGAGGTGCTCCCCTAACTGCCTGATGCTCAGAGCTGCCCCAGCTGCAGCCCAGGCCATCATGGCCCAGCCTGAGCCTGGGGAGGCAGGAGCTCTGGCAGCTGTGACCAGACCCAGGGCTGTAGAAGGAAACCCGGGCCTGGGCTGCCTACAGCACAGCGAGGTTCTGCTGCCCCTGGGAACAAGCTGCAGGAGGAGTCCCTGAAAGCTGAGGACACCTGGCTGTGAGCAGCCCTGAGCAGGCTCCCGGGTCCAGCCCCAGACACGCCATCTCCTGCAGCTTGGCAGGGCCCACAGCAGGCACCTACGCCTGCAGCCTCTGCTTTGAGGGGAGTTCAGGGGACACGTGGGCACCCTGTGCGAGAGAGCTTAGCTTGGGGACCTGGCAGCTAAGAGAGGACCAGTGCGAAGCCCAGGGCTTCCTGAAGGAGCTCGGGGACATTTGCGTCCTAAGGGGCAGTTGGCCAGGATGAGGGAATGGGAGAGGAAGGAGGAAGGCATGTCAGGGCCCCCTGAGGAGGAGCTGAGGTGACAGGAGGGCTGGTATCAAGCTGGAACTTGTGCCCCGGATCTGGATGAGTGTGGTAGTGGGGAATGCTCGAGTGGAAAGGTCTGAGCAGGAACTGGACAAGGGGGACAGCTGAAACCAAGGACTATGAAAAAATCACATGGAAATACTATTTTATAAGCTAATTGAAAATACAGTAATAAAGAATGAAGAGAGGTGTCCAGCATGAGTGGACAACATGGCTGCCAGAACCCACAGGCCGTTCCATGACACTGCAGTGCCAGGTGCATGACACTTCCCTTTAAGCATGGTCAGGCCTCGTGGGCCCCAAACAGCACAGGCTGTCAGCACAGTCAGACAGGAAGGTCCTGCTGGAGAAGACAGCACTCCGTGGTTACAGGCTCGGAGCAAAGCTGGGCTGTCCGCTCTGCCTTCACGGTGCCGGGGGTGGCGTGGAGGTTCTGGGGAGAAGAGTCAGCAAAGGTCCTGCCTCGTGGTGACCAGCCTGCCAGACAAGCCAGCTGCAGTGGCGGCCAATGCAGTTTTGACTGGCTTTGAGGCTGGCTCTGCAGGCTGCCCTCTGAGGCTGACTCTGCAGGCTGCCCTCTGAGGCTGGCTCTGCAGGCTGCCCTCTGAGGCTGCCCTCTGAGCCTGTGGGCACACGCAGCGCCTATGGTGGGGGCCTCACCACGCCAAGGAACTTCCTGTTGTTTCGCCAAGCGGGCCTGGTATGGCCCACCTTCTCAGCGTGTGCACCCATAGGTTCGCTGGCTTCAGCCTTCCTCAGGGAAGCTTCTGCTAGCCATGGGTGACAGTGACGGGGACTCACAGCTGGTCAGAGTGCTGAGAATAGGAGACTGGGTGCTCAGCCCTGAACGGACATCTGTGTTGCCCTCCAAGGCTCAGGGGACGCTGGAGAACGGGGACAGCTGTGGAGCCGTGTCTCCTAGACGTGACAGCAAGTGCTTTGTGCTCACGGCAGCTGCGCTCACCCATACAAGGCTGCACAGAATGGGGTCTGCCAGCCCTCCAGCATGGGGAGCAGGGGTTCTGAGGACCACCCATGGGTGCTTGGGGGGTATGATTCACTGTCTTCAGTAGTGCCTCCTCCTGGTGAGTTTCCCGTGCTCTGAGCACACACTAACCCCCTGGCATGCTAACACAATCCTAATTAAACTCAGGAAGTCTCTCTCTCACATACAAACACACACAAAAAAGACATGGAAATAGGAGTAGAACCTGTGGGGAAGGAGTCAGTGGGAGTGGCAGTCGGAGGGGAGGTGGGAGGGTGAAAATGACCCGAATACCTTACATACATGTATAACATTGTCAAAGATTTAAATCATTTAATTAAGCAAAGCTCGGCCTACTGACTGCAGCGTGATCATAATGCTGGAGCCACAGCTGCCGCCCGGGATCATGAAGACGAGGACCGCAGCTGCGGGTGGGGAAGGGGGAGCCCGTGGGAGCCTGTGTCCTCTTGACCTTGGCAAAGCTGGGGGTGACAGGAGCCAGGGGCGGCTGCTAAGCTCAACAAGGACACAGCCAGGCGGGTGCTTCAGACACGGGCACGGTGCTCGGGTGGTGTGGCCACAGACAGGGCCTTGTGTTAGGAAGGAAACGTGTGTGCACAGTTAGACAGAGTTAGAAGGAAGCAGACAGTCCACATGGAACCAGGATGGGGCAGTGTGGCAGGGCTGAGGTGAGTGTGAAGGAAGGAGCTGTGTGGGCACACGCACGGGCTGGGGAGGCGCCTGCTCACCTGCACGCTGAGCTGCCCGATCTCCCACTCCAGCTGCCGCACCTTGGCCTCTCGGTCGGCCACCATGGCCTGGAGCTGGGCCACGAGGCTGCTGCTCCGCTGGGCCTCACTGTTGACCTTCTGGTCCAGGTGGTGCTGAGATGCACGCCTGGATTCCTCCTGCATGCTCATGGTGCCCAGAATGTCCTGCAGCTGCTTTAGCTGGTCCTGGGGGCCAAGCCAGGGGCAGTTAGAGGTGGGCACCGGCTACTTTGGGCAGGGAAGGACGGGGCAGTCCCTGGAGAAGTCTGACTTTTCTTCCTCCAGGAAGATCTTAGCACGGGACATGAGCTGCTCCTCTGAGAACCAGGAATACCTTCCCCAAGTGACTCAAGGCTCAACTCTCAGAGTCCTTCCTGGGAGCCTGGGGCCAAGAAAGCCATCATGGAGAACTGGCTCTTTACGTTCCAGAAGGCAGTTTAGCTGAGGGGGGGGGTGCCCAGCTGGAAGACAGGCACGTGAGTACAGAGGTCTGATCCTGGTCCAGACACCTCACAGGAGTCTGTCAGCTCCTGAGTTGAGGCTCAGTTCCTTGAACATGTCCCCAAAGAGACTCTAAGGACAGAGGCTCCCTGTTTTGGGGTGAAGAGGAAGGACAGAATGACTTGGGGCAGGAGAGGACAGCTGTTTTCACCTCTGGAGAGAATGGAGGCCGAGAACACCTGAAGCATTAGTGAGGTGCCCACAGGGGCTGCCTCACCCTGTAGCCTGCCCTATCTCATCCACATTACGAGTCCCATCTCCTCTGGGTCCCAAGGCCAATGTCCCAGGGTCCCAGCCATATCCCATCTCCTCTGGGTCCCAAGGCCAATGTCCCAGGGTCCCAGCCATCTCCCTCAGGTCCTCTGGCCTTGGGTGTAGGAAGCTCAAGGTGTGGCTTGGATCTCACAACCCTGCATAACATGATGGCATCCGTCACCATCCTGTCTACCATGAGGGCGTCAATCACCACCCAGCATACCATGAGGGCGTCGATGAGCTCGTCATCATGCTGGCCCTTCTCCACCAGTGTCACCATCTGGCTCCTGAGGGTCTTAACCTCGTTCGACAGCACCCTGTTGCGAGACCTCGTACCATCCAACTTCTTCTTCAGTTCCTCCAGCTCTGTCCGGAGGGTGTCCCGCTCACTGGTCAGTTTCTGGAATTAGAACAGGAGAGCTGAGGCCAGCCTACGCCCATAGCTCAAGGTGACTTGGATCCCAAGCACTGGGGGACTTAGGGTCGGGGAGCAGTTGTTGAAGGGCACAGAAGCAAGTGATGAAGCAAGGGCCTGACCTCAGGCAGGCCTGGCTCCCCCTTCCCTGTCAGGCACATGGTAGACAGCTCTGAGGGGCAGCTTTATAAAATGAACATCAGGACTAGCAAGATGGCTCAGCAGAAAAAATTCTGAGCTTGATCTGTGTGATCTACACACACACACACACACAGCAAATAATTAGAATTAGCCGCAGTCCATCAAACTAGTTTCTTGACCTACTGGCCCACGTCCACTTTCCTTGTGTTCTGTTATGGTCTCTAATAGAAACCCGCTGTTGGGGCCGACAACTGACCCCCACCTAAACCCGCCCAGTAAGGGACGCCAGGCAGCAGCGCTTGTCTCTGCTGTGGGAGGCGGCTCCCCTGCAGCCTGCACCTGGCCCTCTGCAGCAAGCAGAGGGAGGCTCCGATGCTGCACATACTTCCAGCTCCTAGTCCTTCCTGTTCCCTGTGGGCTGCCACGTGTCTGGGACTGTGGCAGGTGCTTAGGTAAAGCAGAGAGTAGGACAGAACATTTGTTCCTCAGGAGGGACAGCGGAGCAGGGGCAGATTGCTGCCTACTGAGAAGTGGGAGAGGGGACAGAGCTGACAGCTGACAGTGGCAGGAGCTGCTGAGAAGAGCAAGGGTCCTGCGTGTGCTGGGGCTCCCAGAGGGGCCGATCACAGCAGGGATAGAGTCCCTGGGGTTAGAGTCCCTGGGGTGAGCCGGACACTGAGCGGCGTCTTCTCGATGCAGAAGGTGTGTTATTGCTAGAAAGGTGTCACAGGTCAAGATCACAGAGATGGTAGCACATGACAGGTGTACCCAGCTCTGGGCAGGCAGGGACCAGTGCTCAGCTGTCCCTTCCCAGGCTCTTGTGACTACCTGACAGAGGAGGACCTGTCCGCTCCCCTGGCCACTGGGATTCGGGCAGTGTTTTCTAAACATCTTCTCACAGGGAGCTCAGTGGGCCGGGAGCAGGCCATATCAGCAGCCCTAACCTCCATCCTAACCTCAACTCCTCCTCATCACACACAGGCTGAAAGTCCTTTGTAATTCTTCCCGCATCTCCCTTTCCTGCCCATCAGCCCGGGGCCCCAGGGTCACCCCAGCCTCCCACCTATCCAGCCTGCCACTGCTAGTTTTCTGCCTCGGTCATGTCCCAGAGGGACGGTCAGCTCTGCTCCTCCCACCTTGCCCACCTCCTCTCCCCAAACCCTCGTTTCTTGTCCAAAGTCAGGGGACCAGGCCTCTTCACAGGTTATCCTGGTGTACAGGGAGCCGAAGGCTGGCAGGGGCTGTGGTGGAGCTCCTGGCACCCCTGGCCCAGGCTTGGCAGATGGAAGGGCATGGGGGACTCCGTCAGGCCCACAGAGAGCTCCCACTGGCAGTCACAGCGAGGCCCAGCCTCAAGTATCGGCCCATCTGTTCAGAGCCTGGTGGGGCTTCCTTCAGGCCCCACCCTGTTCCACCGCTGGGGGTGTGAGCCAGTGTGAGGGCTCACCATCACTGTCAAGGTGTCTGGATTTGGAACGTAAAGACACATTCTGGGCACGCCTGAGAGTGTTTCCAGAGGAGAAAAGATCCTCCCTGAATGTGGGTACAGGTCCCGCTGGTGGGGTACCAGACTGAGTAAACCCGAACAAAGGAAGCCAGACACACAGCAGCATTCATCTCTCTCTGGATCCCACTCCTGTCACCATCCCTCCCCACCCTGACAGGATAAGTTCCCCAAGCTGGCCCATCTCTTTCCTTAAGGTGCTGTGGTCAGGCATCTTAGTGCAACAGGGACAATGACCAAGACACCCACCTACTTCCTTTACGGGAAGTTTTACATGTCTTCAATTCAAACTGCCACGGTTGGACTACCTAGCACTCACTGGATGGACCCAGGCAGCTCAAGCTGACAAGAGGTGGGGCCCATTCAGAGCTGCCCAAAGTCTGTGGTCTGGAAGGGCCGCCCCACCCTGTGGTTCAGTCAACCTCCCTCCCCTCTGTGCTCCGCCTGCCTCACCTCCCAGCCTTCCTGCTTCTCCCTCTCCAGGCTGCGGATCCTCAGCAGGTTTTTCTCTTGTGCCGTCAGCTTTCTTGGGTCTAAACTGACAGACAGCTCAGAACCTGGCGAGCCTGTCATCCTGGTCTGGCGCTGTTCCAGCTGCTTCTCAAGCTCTCGGACCTGAGGGCAGTAAAACCGGCTGTCCCACCAGTGTGCAGCCACGGCCCGGCCACCTACGTGCCACAGGAGGGCCTGCCAGCCTGAAGATGGAGCCCTCCAGGGTGGCACAGACAGCCAGGCTGGGAAGATCCTGGGCACACAGGCAAGCGTGCAGGGCTTAGTTTAGAAGAGATTCTGGCCCAGCGAGGAAGCCCCTTGTGCCTGCGCCCAGGCCTCTCGTCCTGACTGTCAGGCCTGCCATTGGAGAACGGGGCTGCCTGAAGCACTGGAACAGTGCTGTGTGAGAACTCAGCAGCCAATCCTCCTGAGCCTGCGTGCCCCAGTGTACACCCAGACCACAATGAAGGGAAGCTAGTTTAACAAAAGCCACAGGTGATTTTTTTTCTTAAAGCAAGTGTTTCTTTTTATTACAAATATTAACTCATAGTAACTGTACAAAACAGCGGGTTCTGTGTGACACGTCCTTGTTTGATCCTTACCCATGCATTTCCCCACCCCTGGTTTTCTTCCCCTCACTGTCTCTTTCAGGTCAGTAAAAAAGTCCTCTATGAGAGAAAACATGAATATGTGTCTTTGAGTGTGGCTTGTTTGACATAATGATATCCAGCTATATTCATTCTCCTGAAGATGTGATAATTTTGTTTATTTATGGCTAAAATGGCACTGTTCATACACAGCACCTCTCTCTCCCCTCATGGGCCAAATGAGTCTGCTCTTTCTGTTCTGACGGGCACCCAACTGAGACCACAGCAGTCAGCTGTCCTGGGACCTTCTGTGGGCTGAGGCGCCTGAGTGTACAGCCAGGAGCGGCAGAGCTGGGTCACATGGCAGCTCCATCTTGAGCTTCCTGGAGACCCTTCACACTGACCTCCACGGTGGCCACACCGTCAGGTTCCAGCAGGCACTCCCCCACGACGCCAGTGACTGCAAGACGGAATCTTAATGCAGTTTTGACTAGTGTCTAAGAATGTCGATTATTTAAGCACTGTACGTGTGTGAACATATATGTACTCGTACATATACATACATATGGGGCTGGGGGGTGGCTCAGTGATCAAGTGCAAGCCTGAAGCCTGGCACTCAGTGCCCACGTAGATGGCAGTTCAAGCTTGGTGTGTGCCTGTAATCCCAGCGCTCGAGACAGGGAGGGAGGGAGGCCTGCGTCAGGCTGGCCGGCCGCGTGCCGGAGCTCTGGGTTTCCAACCCCTGCCTCCTACAGTGGAGGAGACGCCTGCCGCACAGGTCTGCTCTGGCCTCTGCACACACGCACACACACTTGTTAACCATTTCCGCGTCTTCTCCTCAGATGTGTGTGTGGAAATAATGTCATATTTAAGAATTTGAGTTACTTGTTCTTTTGTTAAGGTTTTTTGAGTTACTTTTATATTCAGAATATATATATGTGAAATATAGCATAGATATGCTCAGAATGTAACATATAATATATACATATGTAGCACATATATGTATAACAATATATACATCTGCACATGTAGATGTGTATGTCTGAGCAACAACCGGCAAAGCCAGCCCACTCATAGGTCACCTTTTCACTTTGCTGGCTGTTCATTTGCTGACCCTTTTAGTTTGATGTGACCCTGCCAGCTCCTGTCACGGTTCCCAGTGGCTGGGTCCTACCCAGAGGCCTGTGCTCTGTCTTCCCTAGAGCATGTTGGGGTTTATGTCTCACGCTGAGGTCTTGCTACACTTGGAGTCGGTGTTTTACAGGATGAGGGGGGTCTCCAGTAAGTGGGTGCCCAGCTTTTCCAGCACTGTGCAACACGCTAGAGGCAGTCCTCTTTCCAGTGTGTGTTTCTCCCACCGCTGTCAGAACCACATGAGATCAGGCATGCTCAAGGCAGTAGATAAGGACATAAAAATAAACTCAGCCTAATGATAATGGTGGATTTGCTGAGGCGGGCTTGGCCAGGTGTGTAAAGGTGAGGAGAATCAAGTTCACGTTTCTAGAACCCCAAAGTTTTGGGGTGATTTCTCCCACGGGTTCCATGGACCTGTGATTAAAAAGGCACCCAGGAGGGTACAGACCTGAGCCTGGGAATGCAGGTGGCACGCTTCAGGGATTGAGGGAGCCAGTGTGAAGGCAAAATGAGGGTGGTGGGAGTGGGGAGGTTAGCCTTGGCTAACTCTGCCAGGGCTCTGTCCAGGGGCACTGTGCCGAGGAACTTACCCTACACCTGCTGACATGGTCCAAGGACTGGGCGCGGGGCAGGTGCTGCTGTTAACCAAGTATATAAGTGTGGAAACTGAGGCACAGAGAGAGATGTGTGTGCTAGTCCACAGGTGGTGAGGGAGCCAGTCAGCGCTGGAGCACACCTCTGGTGCATGCCGAAATACTTAGAAGATGAAGAGGGAGGCCAGGCTGTTTTATTGGTTAACGGAACTTTCAAGAGGCCTTCACCCTCTAGTGTGAGATGGAAAAAGCTTACTATTACAGCAGTCACGCAAATTTGCATGACCTGGGCGGGGGAGGGATGCCTGCAGAGAAAGAAATGAAACTCAAGGCTAAGGGGCTGGTTACAGGCCAGGGCTGGGCATGTGGGAAGCATTATGTAAGTGTGCGTGTGTGTGTACAATAACAAAGGGAAATCAGGCTGGAGAGAACATCAGCCCCTCCACCCAGCAAGGGCCTGAGCCCAGATCCTCTGCGGGTCTGTTCCGGGGAACACTAGGCCTCTATCTAGTGCCAGAAGGACTCACCTTGCTCTGCAGAACTAGGATTTGTTGAGCCCTTCCCCTCCAGGTCCCCGGGGAAGCCAGGAGCTGCTGAACATTTACATCTTCTCCAACTTCACTGGCCAGAACCTGAAATAAAGCAAGGTGCTCAGGGTGGACAGGAGAAAGGCCACCCAGGCGGTTCCTACCACTCACTGTGCAACACTGAGGCAGAGTGCGGTGGGCAAGCTGATGCCATCCCTCCACCTCAGAGCTCAGCTGGCAAAAGGCCCTGTGTGCTCTGCCTGGGGCGCTAGTGATGCCACCACCCCTGCCCTGTCCGAGGGCTCCTTGCTCCTGATACCTTCAGCCACAATTGCCAGAGCTAAGCAGCGCCTCCCTGCCATACTCACCTGTTCTCACAAATTCTGGGTGGCTCAAGAGGCCGGGGTTGGCCTCTGTGACAGCTTCTGCCCAGTGTCTCTTGAAAGCACAGAAGAGTCACATGAGGCTCCTGTGCTTCTAGAAGACCTGACCCCATGGCTGCATGGAGCTCGCCTTATCTCAAGGCTCTGAGGTGAGACTAACACCCTTTGTATGTCACCAAATTAATCCCCAGTCTGGCAAGACAACTCTCTGGCCCTTGTTTCCATAACAGACACTGTTTTGTAAGTCTTGGCCAGTCTGAGTGGTTGTAGCAGGGAAGACACGTGCCAGATTCCAATGTTCACACCAACAAAGGCTGAACCAGCTGGCCTTGGGGCCAGCACCGGCTGAGCATTTTCCTTTGACAGGATCTCCCAGTATGCACATCCCCTGTCCACTGACTACACTGCAGGTCACAGAGGGCAGCAGGTGGGCCCGACAGCCTTTTGAGTCACTCGCAAGGCAGCATACTGAGCGGAAGCCTGGGGTCTACCAGGGCACAGGGCAGGGTGTGGGGTGAGGTGCAGAGAAGGCTCTCAGGCCTCTTCTTGCTGGGCAGAGCCAATCTCCCCAGTCCACAGGCAGACTCCAGGGTAGTGGACAGCCCTCCCAGGACACCAGCCACCCCATTCCGCAGTGCAAGCAGGGCCAAGCACCCCTGCTTTGGAAAAGAAGCCAGTGCACCATCGGGATTTCCTGGGACCAACCCTGGCCACACAACACGCCCCACGCCCCGGCTCTGGACCTTCTGGGCCATACGGAGCTCCTGCTTGGCAGACTGGATCTGGTTGCGTAGGTCAGTCATCTTCAGGTTGGTGGCTGCCAGCCTGTCCTGCAAAGCCTTCACTTCCGGGGTCTCTAGCTGGTTGGGAAGGACAGGAAGAAAGTGGTCACTTGTGGCCTAAGTGCTAGCGACAATCAGGGCTGCTCTGTAGGCGCTGGGTAAGGGACAGAGTCCTCAGAAACCCCCAGCTCCTTGAGATGCAGGCAGAGGTGATGGGAGCTGATCTCCAGGGGCCTGGCCTTCTGCTAGTACACACACAGGCGGGGAGAGCGTGGTGGATAAGACTCTGCCCCTCTGCTGTCCTCCCCGTCTCCCAATCTGAGCGTCTGCTGCCAGTGCCGCTACAGATAGTCTTGACAACCGTGAGTTTCCTAGGTGAGCTCAGTACCCATCAGGCCATGCTGAGAGCGCTGTTCCTGCCCCAGTGGGCCATGGGCCCGGGGTTTGGGGACAGTGTGGCGAGATGTGGGGAGGGGCTTTTGAATCTTTCTTAAGCGCACTCCTGTAAATGCTAGCCTGAAAGAGAGGCCCAAGTCTAGGAAGCTCCATGGAACTTGAACAGCCTACTGAAAAGCAGTGGCCAAAGAAGCTACATCTGAGCATGTGGTACAAGTCCTGGCTGCACTTAGCACCACTCCCAGGATAACAGCCAAGAAACAATGTAAACAATATTTGCAGAATGAAGAATTCTACAAAATGCAAGTAGATCCTTAAAAAAAGTGACATTTTCTGAGTTCTGCCTGAGCTGCCTGCCACTCCGCTTCTGCCATAGCAGCCGGCTTCCCTGTTTGCATGTGGCTTTAAGTCTGCCAGGAACCCCTCCTGAGCTCCCTGTCAGGGACTTCAGGCCCAGGCAGCCCTGTTTGGGGCACTGTAGGAGTGCATGAGCGCCCCCTGTGCCTCTGTGCTCTAGAGCCAGGCTGTGATGGCCACCCCCAGCCTCAGCTCCTCGTCACACAGAGGTGTGGAAGGTGTGCCAAGGGCACTGCCTAGGATAGGTTCTGAAGGGGAAAGGCCCCTTGGCTGGAGTGGGGCAGCCGGCAGGGACTAAAGCCAGCTGGGATTCTAGAGTACCAGCAGCTGGGCTCACTCTCCTCCCAGGAAGCACGGGCTTTGGGGAGGCGGGGCTAGGCGCCAGCCTGGCCCCACTGCAGGCCGTTTCCTTTGAAGGAACAGCTGCAGTGCCCCGGGGAACAGGCTGATTGCACACAGCACGGCCTCCTGAAACCTCTTGCCTTCAGTTGTACTCTGGAATGCATTTCGGAGGAGGCTGGCGCTGGAATGTGCGGTGGGAAGCAGGCCTGGAGAGCACAGCTGCTCCGTGGGGTCCAGTGGTGGTTTCGTCCTGCCTCTGATCGAGGATGCCAGGGAGGGGCGTGGTCCGGGTGAGACGGGGCCTCGATGAGCCCTTAGCCTGGTACACTCTTTCATCAGAGACCCAGGCTCTTGTGGTCCAAGAGCCCCTCCCTGCGTGTCCCCAGCCTGATTTATACTGGCTTGCGCCCTTTTCCTATCGCGGGCTCAAACCAGGTGCTGTGCAATTGGCTCCAGGTGAGCCACGTGCGTGAACGTGTGGCTCCCAGCCTCGCTGCCCTGAAGGCACTGTTCCTCCTGGAAGCCCTTCACCAGAGCAGACCGCAAGGACAGCCCCTCCACCCGCCAGCCCTCAGACAGAGGTGAGTCCTGTCGCCAGCTGTTTCTGAGGGCCTGTCACACCCCCCGTACATGGCCGCTCCTCTTCCTTACACCAAGGCCAGGCTTGAATCCCTGTATGACAAGGCAGACAATCCTATCATGCTAACACAGGACCCAACAAACAGCTTCTTAGCCAGGGTAACTCAAGTCCAGAGGCCTCCATGGCCCAGAAAGGTCAGGGACAGCCTGGCATGGCTGCTGCGACATTCTGGGGACCCTGCTGCAGTTTAGCCTGGCTTGGCTTCCATGCCCTGGCAACCCACAGATGGCCACGCACCTTCCTCTCACAGAGCCACGCTCACAGTGCCAATACTCTGTGGCCTGGCCACTGGCTACGAATGAGGTCTGCGGAACAAATCTGTAGGTCTGCAGTACCTTGTAAAGAACAGGGTCTGGGGAGGCCGGGGAGAAGGCACCGGCAGTGACGTGCAAGTGTGAGGGCCGGAATTTAGTACCTGTGAAAAGCTGCCATGATGGAGAAAGTATATGTAGCCAATGCTGGCGCACAGACACAGCAGGGCCACTCGGCTCAGCTGGACACTGCAGCCAGTGTGTGTTCGTTGCTGGGCTTGGGACCAGCGAGAGACCCTGTCTCAAAGCAGTGGACGGTGTTGCCTCTGACCTCTACACGTGCACACTCCATGCATTCTCACACACATAAACACATGTGCCTGTGTAAACAATGGAGGGAGAAGTACAGAACTTGTCTGGGCAGTCAGGGGCAAACCTGTCTCCAGGGTGAGGAAACTGCAGAAGACAGGCCCAGCCTGGGGCAGGCATCCACGTGGGCCAGCCTTCCCTCCTGGCCTTGGGTGGGGAACTGTGGCAGGGCAGCACCGGGGGGGAGGGGAGGCCCAGGTGATGGCCCCCTCACAGCCTCAGCATGGAGGAGAAGCATACCGAGGCTCTGTCCCCTGGCTGGGTCTTCACTGGCTTGGCCCCTGCGTCCGTGGCCCCCTTGGCTGGCAGCTTGGCTGCCTGCAGCTGAAAAAGAAAATGTGGTATTAACGCTTGGCTCTGCTCAGCAGCTGCACAGCTGTGGCACAGCGTGCTGCTGGGGCGGCCACCTGCCTCGCCTGTGGACTCTCCGGGGAACATGGGAAGGTCAGCCCTGCTCCCCGAAGATCTGCACAGACCTTACCAATGACCGCAGGGCAGCCACTCTCTCTGGGTGGTTTGAGCGAAATGGCCCCACGGCCTCTCAGGGAGAGCACTATTGGGGTGTGGCCGTGTGTGGGCTCTGAGGTTCAGAAGCTCGAGCCAGGCCCAGCGCCTCTCTCTTCCTGCAGATCCAGAGGTGGAGCCCTCAGCTCCTTCTCCAGCACCAAGGCTGGCATGCTTCCCGCCATGACGGTTGTCTCAGCGTTTCTGTTGCTGTGACGGAGCACCACGGTGACTGCAACTCTTACAAAGAAAACGCTGAGGTGGGGCGGGCTACTGATGCAGCCGGTAAACGAGCTTGCATGCGGCTGGCACGAATTACTGTCACGGCAAGAAGCACGGCAGCGTGCAGGCAGATAGGGCAGCGGGAAAGGGGCGGCAGGCTGCAGGCAGCAGGAGGCTGTCACACAGGGCCGAGCGCCAGCACCTGCGGCCTGCGCAGGGACTCTCCCCCGACAGGCCACACCTAACAGCACCGCTCCCCAAGGGCCAGGCGCTCACACGTGCCTGTGGCGGCCACTCCTAGCCAAACCACCGCAAAATAATGGACTAAATCTCTGAAATTCTAAGCCAGCCACAACTCAATGTTTCCCTTTTGAGAGTTGCCGTGGTCATGGCGTCTCTTCACAGCCATAAAATCCAAACAAAGACACTCCCTCAGCCTAGGACGCAGAGAATAAAGGAACCATTTAGGCTGCAGGTGAGACAGGGTGCCTGCCACTCGGGTCACAGCCTGGCTACAGAGCCCGCTGCAGGCGGTTTTGATTTTTCAGCCTTCAGTGTTTTTTCAGTTGTCCTCAGACAGGGTGGCCACATGGTCTGGGCCTCCCTCCTGCATCTCTGACATCACCCTGCTCAGCTCCTTGCCATGCTGGTCTCCTGTGCTTCAGACAGCCCCTCCACTTCTGCCTATCGGGGTGTTGCCCTCTCCCTTTGCCATGGCTGGGTGCTGTGCGGCACACTCATGGCTTCACCTCCTGGGACTGGAACCTCCCATGCCTGCTCCACACCCTCCAGTGAGTGGCTCAGAGCCTGAGCCAGTTCCCTGGAAATACATCCTAGAGTGAAGAAACCCTTGCTCAGTGCCAACTGTGAGGACCAGGGTGGGTTACGCAGGGCCTCAGGACTCAGAGAAGCTGCGGAGGCTTCTCCAGCCTGAGGAGCTGGAACCACTGGGCTGTGCGCTGCTGGAGCTGGTGGGATTTTGGCTAAATGGGGACAGCAGAGGGGGTGACACAGCACAGCTCTGGCTGTGACTTCAGCTGAGCAGGCCTTCTGGAAGCCGACAGAACACAGGCTTCTCTGGCGCGTTCTACACGCGAGGCTCTGTTCTAAGCAGCTTCAACACCACCTCTTACCGTTTTCAGGACACTGGCAGCAGAGCCAGGGCTGCGGCCGATGGATGGGGAGTGAGAGGGGGTGTGGGACTGGCCAACAGCTGCAGGGCTCACAGGGACGCTCCGCCCCTCCCCAGGCCCCCTCCGGCCGCACCCCCAGCTGCCTAGCTGTCTGACATCCTCGTCTCTGGCTGTGGCAGGACCTGAGGAACTCACTTCTAACACCGTGCTCTGGGAACATCACAGCACCCCGAGGCCCAGGTATGGCCTCTCTGGAGCTGCACCCCCCCCCCCCAGGTCAAGGCCAGGCCCCTACTTGGTCCTCCAGCTCCTGGATTCGGTTGGTCAGCTGCTTCACCCTGGCCTTCGCGCTCTCCGACTCTGCCATCAGCCCTCGGTTCTTTTTGGACAGTTCAACAATTTTGGTGGCGACTAGATCTCCAGCCATCCCAGATGCCCCTAAAATGAAAGAAATTGCAAGGTCCATTAAAAGTACAGCCTGCACCCCCAGTCTCCAGGCTGTCCATCCAGAGAGTCAGCAGGTCGAAGGAAGGTGCAGGTGAAGTCAGGAGGTGGAGGCAGGGGGATAGGAAGACAAGTCACTCTCAGCTACAGAGTGAGTTTGAGGCTGGCCATGAGACTCTGGAAAAAAAAATCAGATAGCAGAGTCTTAATTCCACCAAGAGCTGGCGATGAACCTTAGTGAGTGGGGCACAGTCCCCTGACCTTTCTGTGTCTATCCGGTGCCAGCAGAGACAGTGCTGGAAGACACAGCCAAACTGGCTTCCAGCTTACACCACAAAGCTGGCTGGCTGGCTCTGAGGAGGGGCATGTGGACACAGCTGAGCCATCCTAGACAACCCCCAGATAAGGCCCGCCCCGCGTGCCACGTGTGCACGCTCACGCACATGGGTCCACATGTGTAGGGAAGTCAGGGGTCAGCTGTGGTGCTGTTCCCCAGGGCCCCGCTGCACTGTGCTTTTGAGGCACAGTCTCTCAGTGGCCTAGACAGGGAGCCCCAGCTCCGCCCGCCTTTGCTCCCCAGGGTGGCTTTACAAGTGCCACGTCTCTTGGCTTTAGAGAACACAATACTTGGGACCAAACTCAGGTCTTTGTGGGTGCAAGGCGTGGGCCCTAGTTCCCCAGGCCACTGAATGAATGAATTCTTAGTGCTCAGTGCTGCTGAGGTCGCGTATGCGCATAAGATGAACAGAAGCTGAGGGTGCTGGCCACAGGTGGGGGCTGGTAGGGAGGGCCGGAGAGAGGGGAGTGTGAGGAGTGCCTCCGCCAGGCAGGGTGTGCCCAGCTGGGAGGGCTCTCATCACACCATGCGAGGTGGGGGCGGGGGAAGAGAGGGGCGCAGCAGCTCAGAGGACTGGGCAGAGGCCAGCCGGCTGGAGGGTATGGGCATGGGAGGAGCCGGAGAGGTCTGAGGGCGTGCAGGGAAGGTGGCTGCCCGCCGCAGGGCACATGGTGGGCGAGCAGCGGGGTCTGTGTGGTCTGTCCTCTGTGTTGCCCTGATGCTGTGATCGGCAAGCTTGGCAGGAGGCCGGCAATTACGTCACCACCCAGCCACGTGTCGGTGGTGCACTCTAGAGGCAGAGGCAGGTGGGTCTAAGTTCCAGGCCAGCCTGGTTTTCAGAGCAAGTTCCAGGACAGCCAGGGCTAGACAGAGAAACTCTGTCTTGAAAACAAAACAAAACAAAAAACAAAACAAAAAAAAAGGTGACTTCCCTCAAAGCCTTATACTGCTAAGGAGACATGCCCACACCAAGAAAAAGTCAGGACAGACCACAGACCATGAAGGATCAAGGGAGATGTTCACCATTGGCCCAGGAGGGGACCGGACTCCCTGGCCCCTGAGCTGTAAGTGCAATAGGAAGATGGAGGATCTTCAGGAAATGAGGGCCTCCAGCAGCATGTCAGCTGTGTTTCGGGTAGGATGTAGTATGAATGCCTTGCCCCATCTTCTCATGGAATCCAGTCGTCAAAGAACGTGTGGAGGGAACACTGTTAACGCTCGGAGAGGAAACACGATCAGCCATCAGAAGACTGGTCAAGGAAGCCCAGGGAGCAGGGAGGAGAGCCCCGTGAGAACAGCGAACATCCTTTCTTGGCTTTCCTCCAGGACAGCCTCATCCCTGAAGCAGGAACCCTGGGGATAGGCAGGGCAGCAGAGTAGGGGGCAAAGGTGGCTCTTGTCTGAAAGCAGTGTTTACAAATATGCTGAAAAGCTGCCAGCAAAACCTCAGCACTGAGCACGAGCTCTTCCAGACAGACGGCACAACACGTCCAAAAGCTGAGCGTGCCGCAGCTCAGCAGTCCCTGCGCTGAGGAAGCAGAGAGCAAGAGTTCAAGTACAGCCTGGAGGAGACCTTGTCTGGAAAACAGTAACACACCTGCAGAGCCGCACTACGCAGCAGGACACAAAGGGACCTGGAAAGTGCTAACCTTTCTGCAGAGAGGAGGAAGTAATTCTAGCTGGAGTATGCGCTGTGCTTACTGGAGCTGTAAGTTAAACAAGAAACAGCCGTGCCTGGCAGTGAGCTGGTAATCCGCGCACTCAGGAGGCCGGGGAAGGATCCCAGGTGCCAGAACCGCCGGAGCTTCACAGAGACATGAAGGAAAGAAAAAGGGAGGCGAGGAGGAAGGAGGGAGGTGGGCAGAGAAGGAAAGGGAGGGAGGGAGGGCAGGAAGGAGAAAGGAAAAAGGGAGGAAACCAGGAGCAGCTTTCTCTCTCCAAACCAAGGGCTGAATGGTGACTACAGTGTGGGGAGTGGAGCCAAGCAGTCCCAGGGAGAGCAGACGAAGCTGCCAGCGTGTCTGTGCACTGGCAGATGGCAGAAATGGACCAGGACAGGCTGGGGAGGAGGACACACCCAGGCCCTGCTCTCCCTGGGAGCCCTGCCTTAGCCACAGCTCCACCCGAACGGCAGACCCTGAGCGGCTGGGAGCAAAGTGGAGTGTCCTCACAGCCCAAAGCCTTGGCTTCTTGTAGTTCCAGTTTTGGCCAGGCAAAGCCAAAGACTGAGGGAGAAGGTGCACCCGCTCCCCGTGGCCTCTGGGATGCTGAAGTCCTCCTGAGGGGACCTTGCCGGACCTCAGGGAGACAGGGAGGGGCTCTGCAGAAACCAGGGTCCACCCGCTACGCCCCATGGATGGCACTGCTTTTCTCTGCACACACAGAGGAACAGGAGCACCGTGCCATCAGGATCAGAGTCCCAGCAACACGGCGGAGGCCAGAGGCGCCGCCGCAGAGCCAAAGTTAGCCCAAGACCTGTGGGGTCAGAGTCTTCTCAAGCCTCCCCCAACAGAGTAGAGTGAGGCTCAGACTTCCAGTACCGGGCCAGCTGCCGGGCGGCCTGGCCAAGGGTGTCTGCGAACTGCTCCCCTGTGGCATACAGCAGTGCGTGTAGCACCCAGGCCAAGCAAGGCGGGGGGGAGGGGGGAGCACCCTTGCACTGCTCTCTGGAGTCACCCGCCCCGCCGCCTGCGGCCATGGCGGTCACCTGTGAAGGCGAGCCTGTCCTCTTCGATCTTCTTCTTGAGGTGCTTGATCTCAAAGTCCCTCTCCTTCAGCAGCTTGTGCAGCCGCCCATTCTCGTCCTCCGTCTCCCTGAGCTCGCTCCGGAGCTGCTGGATCTCGTCCTCCAGCACCCTGCCAGGGAAAGGCCCTCCACTAGTGCCCAGGGCCCGCTCACACTGGTAGTGCCAGGGCTGAGCACTAGGGGGCACTAGGAAGCCGTCTGCACAAAGCAAGACAACCGGGAGAGTATCTCTTCTCTGAGCTGAGAGAGGCTCGTTCTGTGCGTGCGTGTGCGCGTGCACCAGTGCGCGTGCGTACCTGTATGCAGAGGTGGGACGCTAACCTCAGGAACACCCTCTACCTACTTTGAGACAGGGTCTCTCTGGCCTATAAACCCAGTTCACCTAAAACCTAGACACCAGCCTCAAATTTTAACTAAGACTTAGAATTTCTGTCTGCCCTTGTAGCAGAACGTGTGTGTGTGCACGTGTGTGCATGTATGTGTGAGTCCGCTCGTGTGTGGAAACACCGGTTATGTTAGACTGGCTAGACAGAAGCCAGGGACTGCTGTCTCCACCTTTACACAGTCACAAGCCCAGGCCCAGCGTTTTCAGGTGGGTTCTGGGGATCGACTTGGTCTTCGTGGCTGCGGGCACGTTAGGGTCCCAACAACATGGCCATCTCCCTCGCTCATTTCAAGCCCCAGGGACCACAGCCCCAGGCAGCCAGCCAGGACTAAAGCACCACAAAGAACACAACAAAGGGAGAGGATGAAAAGGAACTCTGGAACTGGAAGAAAAACCAAACCACGTTATAAAGTACAGGGAATGTAGAACGGGCTCGACACAGAAGCTCCGCCCAACTTCAGGGACACACAAGCACTCGGCGGCACACGCCCTCACCGCTCAGCTTCATCCCACAAGCTCCCACACATGCACGCGCATACGCACACACACACACACATGCACACACACATGCACAAATTCCCACACACACACATGCACACACACACATCTCTCAGGGTACAGGTGGGGGTGCTGGCAGAGGTAGAAACCCCGGGCAAAGCCAGAGTGATCTACAAACTATCAACTCCATCCATTCCTTAGGAACATACGTTCAAGCAAAGTGCAAATCCGGGCAGACCCCGCCTTGGTGAGTTTCCAGTCCTCCGTCGGGTCTCACACACCCGCCTCCCAGCTCTCGCCCAGGACAGCTCTGCCAGCTACAGGCAGCCTCAGCCCTCTGTGCCCACCGCTTACAGGCTGCCCACACCCGCCCCGCCCCGCCCTGAAGCCCTCACCTCCTCTCGAGGATGCCCTTCAGGTCCTGCTCCTCTGAGCTGAGCAGGCTGAGGCTGCCCGTGATCTCCTCAAAGCGCTCCTGGTTGGCAGCTTTGCTTTTGCTGCTCAGCTCCTTCTCCCTCTTCCTCTCCATCTGCTTCTGTAGCCGCCTGTGCTGCAGCTCCTGCATGGCCTTGAACTGCAGTCGCAGCGTGTCTGCTGAGCTGTCCTCAGCCGCCATCTCGCTCTGAAAACAGAAGCTGGGAGGTGAGTGTGCCACCAGCACGGAGCACCGTGCCAGATGCTGTGGTTCTCCCCTCAATTGAACATCCTGAGCCTGCGGCGACACTTGGCGCCCTCCCTTACAGCAAGGCTGAGCAGAGGACCACCGTCCCCACACGGCCGCCTGGTCCTCCGTCAGCAGCACCTATTTACAGTCCCAGACTTTGGATCCCAGCAGGAGGATCAGGAGTTCAAGGCCCGCCTAGGCTACATGGCACTGTGTCAAAGAATCAGAAATACATAAATGCATAAACAATTTATTTTTGAGATAAAATTTACACTCGTTAAAGCACATGCATCATGAGCAGACAGCCCAGAAATCTGTCTCCTTGACCTCGAGGTGGCCCACGGTTGGGCTCAGATACGAAGAAAAGCCCGGGGATCAAGTCTCTCTGATATGTGCCTCCTTCTCCCTGTCTGTCTGTCCTGCCCCAGGCAGGGAAAGGGCTCAGGATGGCACAAGAAAAGCCTTCTTTCCCTTGGGACACAGCGCACCAACAGAGCCACTACTGTCTCCTGTGACTGCTCTGAAGTTCCACTATTGCTATCGCTGTGGACTTTGCTGCAAGCTGCCTGTCTCAGCCTCCTCCCAGCCGCCAGCAGAATCCAGGAGACCATTCCTGTCTCCTGAGCCGACCGCCTCCCCAAACGTCTGCACTCCTGCCTATCTCCGCCCGGAGTGCTCCCCTACCACCTAGTCACAGCACAGGCCTGCATGTTGACGCGCTCACCCGGCCTTTCTCCTGTTTAACCAGCCTAGTGTCCTAGTGTCAGCTCATTCCTGCAGGGGGCCCAGACACCATTAGCTTCCCACTCATTCCTAAGCCACCCCAGCAACCCCGGCACAGCTGCTCCAGTCCACACACACACACACACACACACGCACACACGCACACACGCACACACGCACACACCCCCCCCCCCCCCCCCCCCCCCCCCCCCCCCCCCCCCCCCCCCCCCATCCCTGCTATCTCCTGTTTACCAGGTACTGCCTCTCAGCTAGGTCACGGCTCTCATAGGGGCATCTCCATCACACCAGAAGCTCCCTGTGGCCCTCGCCCTAAGACGCCCGGGCCGGTCCCCACCACACGCTACTTCTGTTGACTCATTTTGCCTTTCACAGAATTTCATGCCTAGAGTCACATAATGGCTAGGTTTTTGTGACTGAGTCTTTTTCTTTTGCTCAGTGACACTTTTCAGATGTTCCCCCCACGGCTGCATGTGTCACCCTGGCCCTGGCACGCTAACGCACGATCCCTTCCCAGGCCCGTGATCGAGTGCACTTCATGGCCACCCCCACACGCAGATGTGACGCGTGAGGGGAAAGACGGACATCGTCTCCCTGCCTGAGCCTGGCTTTACTTCGTTTAGCACAGTGACTTCTGGTCCCGCTGGTTTTCTGAGAACGTCACGCTCTCAGCTTTCTAAAGCGGCTCCTCGCATCTTCTTTACCCATCTTCTGTCCACGCATGTGTTCGGCTTCTGCTCCCGGTGAGCTGCATGGCGTCCCCAATCACGGTGCTCAGAGAGACCGTGGCGGGCTTCAGGACACTCTTCTGGGAAAGCTCTTTCTTTATAACTTGTTCAGTCTCATTTGCCCTGTGACCCGAGAGCCAAGGGTGGCTCAGCAGATGGACCCGCACACAGACAGGCACACAGCTCTGTCTCTCCACGTGGATATCAGTGTGGCCCTGGAAACGGATCCCGTAAGTGAAGTGAAAATGCCCGGAGGGGAGGTGCGGCGCGCTGGGAGCTCTGCGGCGGCTTCCCTGAGGCATGACCTCAAACACGCACACGCACTCGCACACGCTGGGAGAGACTAGGGAAGAACCCAAGGACACAGAGGCTCTTGGCTCCTGCCCTCGATGGGACCAACACACCAGCTCGTCCTTTCGGTCCAGACCAGCGTATCCATCCAGTGGGCCATACCTTCACGTGGCTGCCTTCCGCCTTTCTCCGCTCTTACCTCACCTCCTACTGTGGCCTGTTCTTCACACTCAGCCCGAGGGGCCTGACACTGTGCGGGGAGCTGACACCGCCAGGGAACACACCCACCCCAGCCAGAGCCCATCTGCTCAGCTCCCTCCACTCCCATGCCCCTGCTAGGGCTGCCTGGGGCTCACAGCCTTGCACACTGTTCCTCTCCATTCTGTCTCCCCGTGCCCTCTGGCTCTTTCCCGACCTCTCAGGATTCATAGGGCCCCCGAAGGGTGACTTCCCGGCCCCCTCCCCCACTGCTCGCCGGGAGGAGGGTTTAGCTGGTCCACCGTGTCAGGGGCGGGCGGTGTGCATGCACACACCCCCCCCCTCGAGCTTCCTAGGTGGCTCTAAATCTAGTCAAATTTTTGAGGAATGTGCATCTCGCCCCTGCTTCACCCACTAGCCTCCGCCCACAGCCCAGGCGTCCCCTTCTCACCTGACCTGCAGCACACTTCACCTACAGCGTGTAAACGACCAGGACACACATTTATTTTTCTTTTCAGCTGTAGCCCAGGCCTGCCTCCACACTCGCCGCAATCCTCCTGCTCTGGCCTCTCAAAGCTAGAGTTACAGGTATGTGCCACCATGCCCAGCAGGACTCCTGTCCTTCCACTTTGCTCACGGCTGCGCTGCAGGACCTGACAGTGTTGGGATACAGTGGGGCCCAAGAAGGACTCTGGCCTTTCCAGACAAGGACACTGTGATCAACAAGCTCACCCAGTGTGACAGAGACGCAAACAACCGCAGACAGCCTCGATTCCTACAGAAGCCACACGCTGTGGAGCATGGGACAGGGCTCCACACAGCTGCCACACGCTGAGCACGGGACAGGACAGGGCTCCACACAGAGCTGCCACACGGGACAGACCTCCACAGAGAGCTGCCACACGCTGAGCACGGGACAGGGCTCCACACGGAGATGCCACACAGAGCTGCCACACGGGATAGGCCTCCACACAGAGCTGCCACACGCTGCGGAGCACGGGACAGCGCTCCACACGGAGATGCCACACAGAGCTGCCACACGCTGAGCACGGGACAGGGCTCCACACAGAGCTGCCACACACTGGGGAGCACAGGACAGGGCTCCACTCGGAGCTGCCACACGCTGAGCACGGGGACAGGGCTCCACACAGAGCTGCCACACGCTGAGCACGGGACAGG